GATTGACGAAAATATATAGTTGATGAAAGGTAGACCTAAGATCTATATACGAGTATAAGGCACTCTAATTTTTAAATGTGTACACGCAACAAAAAAATTGTTAGGAAAGACCACATTTTAAGAGTGTGTAGGTTAGGTTTTGATGATAAAAAAAAATGACTTCGGTAACGAGAATTGGAAAATAAGTTCCATAATGGGAATCCCACGCCAATCGTCTCCTCCTTATACTCTCCAATGTATATATATATCTATCTATATTTACCTTAAAAGCATGAACTCCTAATTTGAATGTTAAATTACTATAATATCCCTAACTTAGGTTGTGACTTTTTCGATGAGTTGTGACTTTTACGATAAGTTGTGACTTTTTTGAAGGGTTGTGATTTTTCGATGAGTTGTGACTTTTCCAAAGAATTGTGACTTTTTCAATAAGTTGTGACTTTTCCAAAGAGTTGTGACTTTTTCAATAAGTTGTGACTTTTCCAAAGAGTTGTAACTTTTTCAATAAGTTGTGACTTTTCCAAAGGGTTGTGACTTCTCGAAAAGGTCATGACTTTTCAGATAAGACACAAAAAATATTTGTTCATACTACCCTTTGTTGACTATAAATAGAGGGGTTTCCTCTCAGTTTTCAACCACAATTTGTTTTAACTTCTACTCTTCTTCTTCTTGCATTTTAATTTTTTTTGTGTCATTTATTATCGTTGAGTTAGTTTGAAGTTTAGCGGAATATGAGGTACCACTAATATGATGAAGTAAGTCGTTCTATCCTAAGAGGGTATATTCCGTAACCTCGAGTACTTGAGGAAAATAATTTTGATGATATAATCATTATTTTTTTGTTTAATATATACATCAATATGTAACGTTCCAAATTTTGTAGTCTAAGTTCATTTGTTTATGTTAACATTTTCTCTTGTGACAGAGATATATGCCTCTGAATATTTTTTCCAAAATTTAGAGAATTGTCATGATTTGTTTTTTATGCTCAAGACAAATGAATGACTTTATTTATCAATATTATTTATGTGATTTAGACTCTCGGGAATTTTTCTTCAAAATAGTTATATAAGTATTGCCCTTTTGTTTTACTTATATACTATTTCTTAATATTTTAGTATTTTAGACGAAGAAAAGTTCATATGACTTGTAATAACGCATGTTGAAGTTTGTATTAGTAATTTTTATTATTTATTTAATAGTTAATTTTATGAGATAAATATTTTCATTAATGCAAATATATATTTATATTTGGGTAGGTATTTGTATTTAAATTAAAGTATTATATATGTCACAAATGTATTATCAAGTTAACAAGATCTTCTAACTTCAAAGTATATTATTTTAAAATGTTCTGAGTTTTTCTATAAAAAAAACTCACAACAAATATGAAAATATGTGAATATATAAAATGTATTTGTTCTCTTCACATGTTCATAAGACATCTAAACAATTTAATGTGGAATACACATGCAAAGCACATCTGGTTAGATAACCAAAAAAATATATAGATCAATTATTGTCTATAAGGTAATATTAGTGGAATAAAAGGTTTGCATTAATAAGAGATATATATGACGATCCACATTGAACATTCACAAAAGAATCTGCAATATTATTTTTTGCTAAGTTTATTATTCAAATCTTCGCTTAAATAAACAGTACTATTTACTATAACATATATATTTAAAATTGTTATTCACGTGCAACGCACATGTCAAAAAACTAGTATATATATATGCTATTGTGATAATATTTAACATCAAAGAAAATCAGGAACACATTTTCCTTCGTACCAAATACACAACCTTAAATATGGAACATATATATTTTTCCACAAGAAGATAAAATAGTTGATGAATTCATTAATCAAACTCAAACCAATTGATTAATAAAAACCTATTTTTATGGAAGATACCAAGAGAACATCATTAGGTTCTGTTTTGAAGGTTGCCTTGAAGATCATGGCTGCCTTTAAAATGATAAGAGTGGACCAAAACCCTTCCCACTGATAAAGTTGATGTATGTTATTCCACGAATGATCAGTTTTGGGCAGTTTCTCTATAATTCTCTCTATTTCTTCATTATTCACAATTGCTGATGATTTTTTCTCACTCATTTTAGGAATGGAATTAATAAAAATAGTGGTAGTTCATATAGTTTAATTAGCCAAATGATATGTGTGTCTATATATGGAGGAAGGAAGAGTCGTTTTAAAAAAACATTTACATAATCAAATTACTTAACGTAATTAATGCGATGCAATGAGAGATCTATAACATCTTGCATTTGGTGATTCTAGCATACTCTATAATTTATAGGATAGCCAAAAACATCATATAGTATAAATTTCTTCTTGGACTTCTTAAAGAAAGATTTGAAAAAAAATTCCATCACGAGTTAATTTATGATTTAATTAGCAATGAAAAATCAATTGAATGTAAAGTCATCCTAATTGATGTCCATTTGTAGCTCTATTAGATAGGCATAGCCCAATCTATGTATTAATAATGAAATTTTGCAGTTGGATGATGATAATATTATCCGCACATGGCGTGAGTTTGAAGTAATTAAGAGCAATAAATTGTCTCCATTTCAAAGCTCATAGACATTTGGTAGAAAATAATTAGAGTCTAAATTGCCTTATAATACTATATACTTATCCATATTTAAATATTAAAAATAAAAATAATTAAGAATCTTACCTGTTATAAGCATTAAAAATTCGAGACGATATTAATTAATATCTTCGAATTAACTAAAGTTATTAGCATTGTCTGCTTATTTCATTTTAACACATCAACAAATTCATTTTTTCTAAAATACACTTTAAATTTAATATTTTTAATTTCAAAAATATTATGCCGCTTTAAAAGCCACCTTATCTATATCACTTATTAAAATAAAAGGTTTCGCATAATACATATATTTTTCCACTAGAAGATAAAATAGTTGATGAATTCATTAATGAAACTCAAATCAATTGATTAATTAATAAAACCTGTTTTCATGAAAGATGCCAAGAGAACATCATTAGGTTTTGATTTGAAGGTTGCCTTGAAGACCATGGCTGCCTTTACAGTGGTAAGAGTGGACCAAAAACCTTCCCACTGATATAGTTGAATTTTATTCCAAAAATAATCAATTTTGGGCAGTTGCTCTATAATTCTCTCTATTTCTTCATTATTCACAATTGGTGATGGTTTTTTCTCACTCATTTTAGGAATATAATTAATAAAAATAGTGGTAGTTCATATAGTTTAATTGGCCAAATGATATATGTGTCTATATATAGGGGAAGGAGGAGTGTAAAAAATATTTACATTACTTAAACGTAATTGTTAATGTGATGTAATAAGAGATCTATGACATCTTGCATTTAGTGATTCTAGCATACTCTATAATGTATAGAATAACCAAAAAAGATCATATAGTATAAATTTCTTATTGGACTTTATAAAGAAAGATTTGAAAAAAAATTCCATCACGAGTTAATTAGCAATGAAAAATCGATTGAATGTAAAGTCATCCTAATTGATGTCCATTCGTAGCTCTATTAGATAGGCATAGCCCAATCTATGTATTAGATAGGCATATCCCAATCTATGTATTAATAATGAAATTTTGCAGTTGGATGATGATAATATTATCCACACATGCCACTGGTAAAATGAAGTAAGAGCAATAGATTGTCTCCATTTCAAAATTCATATAGACACTTATCATTTATAGCTGGTTTTGCAGGGCAGGTATATATATATATATATATATATATATATATATATATATATATATTTATATTATTTTTTTCGATTTTCAATGGAAGAACTTACTCCGAGAAGTCTTATCTATGTTGACTAGTTTACATTCTAGACATTGCATAATATAAAGATAATATTCCCCTATCTGCCACTGCCATCTGTGCTTCACTGCCATATATAATTTCCTAAAAGCTTATTGAGCTTCTTCAGTCTTTTGCTCCTACGCGCTGCTCTACAGGCCCAAACTCTTCGACACAATTACTTCTTTGTTCATAGCTTGGTTCAGTGTTGGGTTCATAACACATTTATTTAGAAATCATTCACATTAAATTTAATAAGTATGATGATGAGTAAAAAAAATAAATTTGTCAAATTCAATTTGATGGTATATCATATTTTTGTAAATTAAATTAAGTTTATTTTGTACATCTCTAAAATTTGAAGAAGAAAAAAAGAAAAGACAAGCAATGAATCCACCCATGTCATACATAATAGGTAGAAAATAATTTGGGTCTAAATTGCCTTATAATACTATTTTCTTATCTATATTTAAATATTAAAAATAAAAATAATTAAAAATCTTACCTGTTATAAGTATTAAAAATTCGAGACGGTGACTAGTGGATATTAATTAATATCTTCTAATTAACTAAAGTCATTATCGTTGTCTGCCTATTTTATTTTAACGCATCAACAATTTTTTTTTCTTTTCTAAAATAGACCCTCTAACTTTAGTATTTTTAATTTCAAAAACATTACGCCGCTTTAAAAACCACCTCATCTATATCACTTATTAAAATAAAAGGTTTTGCATAATACATAAATAAGATCAAAGAAGTATAATGACATAAAACTCAATCCATAATATATTAAAATTCCATGCGTGCATAACAACATTATTACAAAAGATAAACTTTTATAGGTGTCAACAATTAAGAGATATTTCTAGACTCATACTTCAAAAAAGAGAACAAAAAGACATGGAAGATAGATGCTTAAACATTTAATTTTATTATTTTCAACGACCCTAACTTATTACTCATCCGGATGAAGTAATAGGAAAGCTTATTAAAGTAGTAATTACAGTGAGAAGTATTGAAAACATCCATAAATTTGATGACATGAATTATTATTAGTTTCGTTTCTAAATTATTAACAACTTTATACCCATCTATTTGACTAACTGAACTTAAATGCACCTCTGATCTTGCCACTTGGGTAAAAAACACCAAAAAATTAGGGGTGTTTTCAACATTTCTCTCGGCTTTTTATTAAGAGTCTCACGCTCGTACAAGAGTTTGAGACCACTTGTTATGCTATGTGGCAGATCAGGGTGTACTTAAGTTGAGTTAGCCAAATAGATGAATGTTTTTAAGACCGTCAATAATTCAAGAATGATACTAATAATTCACGTCAAGTAGTTCAAATGTGTTTTCAATACTTCTTGTTTATAAATATCAAAGTTCAAGTCCTTCCCTTGAAGCTTCAACTTGGTAATCTTGTCAAGTTGCTCTTCCATTTCAGGTGTCATGTGATTCTTCCGATCCCCAACAACTCCTTTTCTGAAAAATGCACTATTGTGGACATAAGAGATGGTTGATCCACTCTTATTAACCTCCAAATTCTTAAGCCTCTCCAAGCTACACTTGTTCAAAACTATCTCCAAATCCTCTTCATTACCAAAAGGCTTTTCAAGAAACAAGGCTATTTTTGCCACCTCTTTCTTAGGGTCTATCTTCAAGTCTTCATACTTCAAGAATAATATTTTTTGAGGCTTTTTTTTACTTTCTTCCCAATATTCAAGAATATGTTCGAAAAATGGTCCATAATGATGAACCCCATTGCAAAAGTTCTCCACAACCTCTTCTAAAGGAGAGAGATCTTCTAAACGCTTACAATTATTGAGGTGATGCCACATAGAAATTAAGGTATCTTTAGGATTTCTTGTTATGTATATAATCTTGCAATTATTTGAATTTTTGATTGAATCAGGCAAAACCCTATAAGGTAAATGTGTGTGAAATAATTTTAGAGAGGGCATTGTGTATAGATCATGAGTTGGAGTTTTTAAATAATAATCCATGGCCTCTATTGTTGGAACATAAAAATGAGGATTATCCTTAACTAAAAGGTCTTCTTCTTCCTCTTTATTACCTTGCATGATGGATACACATATGGCCTTGAGCCATGTTGAACCTATAAGACAAACATTAGACATTAGAATGAAAATATAAAGTTTTTTTTACTAGTTAATATCTTAAGAATTATATAAGTATAAGGCACTCTAATTTTTAAATGTATACACGCAACAAAAAAATTGTAAGGAAAGACTACATAGTGTGTAGGTTAGGTTTTGATGATTAAAAAAATAACTTTCTTAACGAGAATAGGAAAATAAGTTTCATAATGGGAATCCCACACCAATTGTCTCCTCCCTACGCTCCAATATTCCATCCCCTCCCATACACACACTTCCTCCCCAACCACCATCTCCACCGCCCTATCCCTCAACACATATAAACGATGTTTTGACAATATTTAACATCAGAGAAAATTAAGAATACATTTTCCTTCGTACCAAATACACGGCCTTAAATATGGAACATATATATTTTTTCACAAGAACATGAAATGCTTGATGAGTGCATTAATCAAACTCAAATCAATTGATTAATAAAAACCTGTTTTCATGGAAGATGCCAAGAGAACATCATTAGGTTCTGATTTGAAGGTTGCCTTGAAGACCATGGCTGCCTTTAAAATGATAAGAGTGGACCAAAATCCTTCCCACTGATAAAGTTGAAAGTTATTCAACAAATTATTAGTTTTGGGAAGTTGCTCCATAATTCATTCTATTTCTTCAGTATTCACAATCGGTGATGATTTTTTCTCACTCATTTTAGGAATATAATTAATAAAAATAGTGGTAGTTCATATAGTTTAATTGGCCAAATGATATATGTGTGTCTATATATAAGCCAAATAAAAATATTTACACAATCAGACTACTCAAACATAATTAATGCGATGCAATGAGAAATCTATAACATCTTGCATTTAGTGATTCTAGCATACTCTATAATTTATAGGATAACCAAAAAGGTCATATAGTATAAATTTCTTCTTGGACTTTGTAAAGAAAGATTTGAATTTCATCACGAGTTAATTTATGATTTAATTAGCAATGAAAAATTGATTGAATGTAAAGTCATCCTAATTGATGTCCATTCGAAGCTCTATTTTTTTTAAAAAAAATCCACCAAAGGTGGGGATTAGGCATAGCCCAATCTATGTATTAATAATGAAATTTTGCAGTTGGATCATAATATTATCCGCATATCGCATGAATACAGAGCAATAAATTGTCTCCATTTCAAAACTCATAGAGACTTGGCATTTACAGCTGGTTTTGCAGGGCAGGTACAAAGTGATGAATACCATACACTTAGAAATTAACAGTAAAGAGGATACAGATACCGTCTGTTTACATCAGCAACAACGACACCAGATCAGAGAAACTAAGCCATCCGATTCATTCCAAGCCTGTTCAAATTACATTTTAAATGTCATCCTCTCTCCACATTCATAATACCTTGCTCCGATTAGTCTCTTAGTTCTGTTTATCTGTGCTCTGCTGCTTCATAACTTCATTTTCCACGCCTAGTAGCCCTACTGAACATGTCTTTGATATTAAGGGAGTTGGTCTCCGCTTTGATCTTTTTAGTCGGTCTTTTGCTCTTAGTAGTCTTTTCCTGCTGATTTGGAAAGATAAAAAAAAAGGAGTGATGCACATTGCAAATGAAAAACTGAAAGTAAATAAATTAAGCAGAATCTTATATAATAGACAAGTTCATGGCAATCTATTGTGATTTGCTTTGTGCTTTTTCTACTGTTATGTCAGCATGCTAATAGAGTGTGTGTATATATTATCATTGCCACAACAATATACTATTTCTCTATTAAAGTGTGCATCAACTATACATACAAATATCTTTTAAAGACCGACTTTCTGGTAAATTTATCCTTCATCTGCCCAAGCAGGAAACAAATGGAAAAGAAGAATCTCTAACATAAAAAATGAGTTCTTGATGCACATGTAGGCTTCACCCAAACATAAATTGCAACAAATATTACAGTAGGCTAGGCCTGGGAGAGAAACATATTGTAAACGTAAGATTCAATTTCGATCTTTCTCATGATGCATCAAGACAGAGTGATAATATTCTTGCACAGTTTATTATCCTTGTTCCTGGTGCCGTAGAAAATACATACTAATCACCAAGTCATGGGATTGGAACCAGTTTAATAGTGGTTGTCTTACCTGTTCGTGATTGAAGGACTCGAAACTATTATCCATTGGTGATGAATGCATTTCAGAATTTGACGCTTTTGTGTCCTCTTGAAAGTCTATGCTGTAATCATAATGATAACAATAAAATGGTTAATAAATTAGAGGAAACTTAATGTTGCCATCTTCAAAAAAATTAAAGAACTTGTAAAGAGAAGACATGGGATTTTCACAACATAACCACCACCGATATAAAATGTACTGTCAGTTAGCATCAAGAGGAATACTTTAACTAGGAACATAGTCCCCTAAACAAGACCAGTCTGGCCCCTTATCTAAGCCAGAAAGTCCATCCATGCCTTGTAACTCATACAACAGCATATTTGCAGGCTAGCCATAAAGCAGGTGCTTAAACATGGTAATACAGAATTTTACAATTGATTTTTAGCATCGGAAACACACCCATCTAGGTATCATCTTTATATATTGGTAATTTATCTTCAAATTTTTCACAAGAAAACTTATGGTATTATGAAAATAAGCTGGAGGCTTACTCATTAGATAGTTCAATGGATTATTTCAGAAGCTAAATGTGAATTAACATTATTCATCACACAGAGTGTGTAAATAAGAGAATATGTCCTGAAAGTTGTTTGTCTCATGTTGCATTTTTGCCTTTTAAGATATTGTGTAAAAGCATAACCTCTATCTAACGATACCTAGACAAATAACTTCAAAAACAATCAGAAAAAACTCGGCCATTTATCAGTTAAAGGAAATACCTTAATTTGCTGCAGAGGAGCTTCAACCAAGGCTCTTCCTTCAAGTACTCTCCAATTATAGATACTGCATCAGTTACTGTTTACTTCAAAAAGCATTAATTAGTATAATCTTTTAGCTTTCATATGGACATGACAGGAAACCACATATTTAAGATGATAAGCGCGCTGAATTGGCCAAACAAACTTATTTCCTGGTTCTTTAAAAACCAAGGATACATTAAAGATACTTGAAGAGTTTCTCAAACAAAGAACGATGTAAAAAATGTCTTCGAAGGACTGCAATTGGCTATGAGCATCATAACGTTTTAAGTGTAAAAAATTTAACGAACTCATTATTCAAAAGGAGACGTACATATTTCTTTCTTATCTCGAGCAGCATAGTTCTTATCCAGTGTCAACAATGTCTTCTTTAATTGTATTACCTACAAATATCTTAAAAGTTAAAATAGAGACATGGAACATAATGAAAATTGTGTCTGAGAGACTAATCAATCTGTAAGATGGATAGACCATTGTAGACAAAGAAGACTTCACAAGATATAAACAAGACGCTACCAAAATATAAAGAACACCTCAAAATAGAAGAGATTATTAGTTCCTTTTATGTAAGACTCTGGTTGGTTTCCTTTGGCCTTTGAAAATATATGACTTATCTAGTTATTTTACACCCAAGTTGCATCATTTCCATTTGAAAAAGTCCAAGTCCGAGCTAGAAGATAACACATGCACTGTGGCGCTAAGCTGTTTCTCTTAGTTATTATAAGTTGCTACTCAAACCTAGTGACAGGGCAGGTAGCAAGTTATACGATAGCAAATAATCAAGTACATTTACACTACAGTGGATCAGAGTGGCAGCCAGATCATGTGGAAGAAAATTTCTTATATAACTATGTGGACTACATCATACTTATCATTGGACCATCTTCAGAACTCAATGTAGACATAACTAACAGGAGATCCATCTACAAGCTAAACTATTACAGGCCATTAACTGGAACAAGTTATAAGTGGATTTTCATACTTTTTACAGATTGGGAAGATCAGATACTGGAGAGTCAATCACAATAACTCTTGAACTTCTAATTTCCAAAAAGTTGTGATTTTTACTCTAAATGCTAGAACATGATCATCACAGCACATTGTTTCAGAGCAAAAAAAACCACCCAAGGGATGAAGTCTGACCTTCAAGCATAACCACTTTAGCACCTTCTCATCATTAAGCCTAAAAAACTTTGTCATTCCTACATCTGTTGACAAAAAAAAAGGTAGAGGGATGGACATCAATATTAAGCATTAATTAACTTGAATTAGACATTCACCACCAACCCAAAAGTAAATGTTATAGTTTCAAATGTTTTATGAATTACATCATGTTAGACTTCAATACCATTTTCATATGTTTTTCTCTACACTTTATTTGACAAACTTTAAGTCAGATACATGGATAATATATCTATTGAATACTCCATAAAATATGAGATGTCATGCCATCTAGCATAATAAGACCAAAAAAAAACTGGAGATAGGACAATAGTATATTATCACCTTTGACATCACAAACCACTTGCATGCAGTTCTCAGCAATGGAAGAAAGATGCTGATATCCAGGATAGCCTACAACATAAATTATTTCATCCACTTGCCTAAACTTTCCTGGATCATCATTTTTCTGCATTTATCACAATAAACAAAAGAGCAATTAGAAACCAGCTCATCAAGTGGCAGACAGTTGTCTCTTGCAAATGGTGCATTCAGCAAAGGAAACTCAACCAGCCAAAAGAGAAAGAAGATAATCTGAATCTTATGTAGTCATTCAGAAGAAAGGGAGTAATAGAGTCACCTATTTTGTAGACAGTTCTTACGGTCAAATGAAAGTAGTTTACAGGCAGTTCCTTTTCTTAATAAATAATTTATAAAGCAACAATACGTGTAAAATACACACTTTCAAGTATTACACTTCTCTACTATAAACTTTTTGCTAGCAGTTTGTTTATATAAGAAACTTAAGAGAGATAAATAACTCAGAAGTTAGAAATTAATACCTTCATTCTTGCTTCTTCGAAAATAGGTAACAGAACAAAAACTGGATCGACTGGAGTTGCAGTATACAAACGACCATCTGTTTTGAGAAATAAATGAGTACAAAAAAACTACCAAGAAAGCACTAACAATTCCTCTAGAAATAATGACTAATAGCATTGACTGATTTGAAGAGTAGAAGATATAACCAATAGGCTTCTCTAGAAAGAGTACAAGAGGTAAAATATAAGCATAATGAAAGGCAAATTCAGATGTTGAAGATATATTTAATTAAATATAAGTGTGCTCTCTAACCACTTAAACTTTTAGATGAGATGGTTACACACTTATCATTCGTAAACATATAGCTTTAGTTCCTGTAAACTATTACCTTGAAGAGATTGGTTCATCAAGACAAATTATGAACAACGAGGGCAACTGCAGATTTATCAGCTTTTGAAAAGGTTATTTAGACCAAGCTCAGACGAATATTTACCTTCACATACATAATCCCCAAGGAACCAAGACCCATAAGATTGCTTGAACCAGTGAAGTTCTTGAAGAGATCCATCAACACAAAGGTAACATGTTGCATTTCCTGTCACAAAAGCAATTTTTTTAAAAAAATTATATCAATGTTACTGGACTATTAATACAATCATAGTGGCAAACCAATTCCCACAAGATAGTATGGCAATCAGCAAGAGGTTAGGGTGTGGTTAACAAAAAATGACCTATAGCAATTTCAATACATCCACAAAAAAAATATCTCAAGCCACTTCCATGAAAGCATTATAATCATAGGAAAAACAGTAAACAAATACACATAATTGAAGACATCTAAAACAAGCAGCTGCATGAAAAGTGCAGGAATTTACCAGATTTGGGATGTCGAAGAGATAAAAGCTGCTCTACCTTGTTCCCATCCTTAGAAGGCTCTGCAATGTCAAAGTGAGAATCTTAATATTGCATTCAAGTGAGTATAGAAGATTCTAGAGCTGTATCTAAGAGATTGACATATCATTGTTCCCATGTACCAGCAACACAGCAAGAGAGATGTCAAGATGATTTTATTTTTCTTTCTTTTCTCAAGACGAGTTATTTATTTCCATAATCAAGATTCGACTATATGATAAGTGTATCAGTTTAACAGCATATCTGGAAGAACCAACAAGTCTTGAAATCTTCAATATCCATCTCCATCCTTGGAGATGAAGGTTACAAGTAGCTACTGATCCTTAAGCTACAGTAACATACATGCTCAAGACACTCCTTTAGATTCCAAATGGTTGAAGATATTCAAAGAATTGAAATATCGCACACATAATGAACTCAATTGAAAGTTTCTTCCTTTTTTGCTAACAAAACATAATGAAGGTGTAATTAACATAGTACTATGTCTCTAATCTCAAAATAAAAACAGTAGCAAGAAAAAAGACACAACCTCAAGCCAAGAGATAAAAATGAACACTCACAAACAAAAAAAGAACCATAATACCCAATCGAAAGTTTCTTCCTTTTCTGCTAACAAAACCTAATGAAGGTGTAATCAACTTAAACTAGAGGACACACAAAAAAAGAAAGGTATATTAAAAGGAAGTACCTTTTGCAATAAGAACACGAGCTTCATCTAGACCTTCCCACCAAGCCATGGAAACCTTTCTGACACAAGAAAAACCTCTAGGAGGAGAACTATTCTGATAATCAAATAAAATTATATAGTGAGATTAGTAAAGACACAAAGCATTAGAAACTACAAGAAGAGATAAATGGGTGTAGGGTATTTGAAGGAAAGAATGGAACTTTACCACTTGATGGAAGAAGAAAGGAACAATTTTGCCGTATAGCGTTGAAGAAGAAGAAGAGATTTTGCAGAAATTTGGAATTGGCGCCGAAATCAGTGGTGGCAATGTCAAGTCCATTCCTCACCCTAGTAAAGGGTACCATTCTAACAAAAAGGCGTTTCTAAAACAAAAATATTTTTTTTCGACATGTTAGAATGTGTTTTCATGAGTTCAGTTATTAGTAATATAGAAAAATAAGTGTATGTATATTACTCATCAATTAAAAACATTACCGATATTAGTTTTAATACATTAATAATTTTCTTCATAAGCAACAACCAAAGGATCCCTAGTGTTTAGAGTTGGATTCCAGGCACGAAAGACTTCCTAATTCTCTAGTCGAATTATCACTTTCATTCGACGATACAAATAAGATAGACGTGGAGAGTGCTAGAAAACCAAATAATCTTTCAATGCCTAAGTTTGCTATGCTATTTGGTACTATACAATTCTTTTATTGGTTTTTGGATCTTCTTTCTACGAGAGATAATGAGAAGAATTCACAATTTGACCTCAACATTGAATTTGATTTTCTGATACAATAATTTCGTAACATCGACTTTGAATTTGATCTCATGATATAATAGTTATGTACAATTTAACTTCGACACTGAATTTGATCTCATGATACAATGATTCCATATGAAACGATATGAACCTTTGATCTAACTCAATCACAAAAATGAATAATATAAAATGAGGGTCAGACATCAATGGTTGAACCTGCCTCTAACTCGTGGTTATTCATGTCCATGTTACTGCAGCTCAACAAAATAAAACTTTACAGAAACACACAATTATCATTGACCACAAATATACAAGTCACTAGGTGGTGTGGTTCCAATTCCACTCAGTGTCTAAAGGATTTTTTTCAACAAGAAGAAAAAGGAACACATAATCAAGTCCTTGGACATTAAATTTGCACAGCTCTTTCAATGGATAGAAGATTATGTTGGCTTCATTCTTCACTTTTTGGGTCTCTTGTCGCGGTAAATCCTCTCTCCTTTAGCAATTTAAGACGAATACACCTTAGTAAGCTCGTTCTGGCGGAATCTGGAGCAACTCACGTATCCCTTCACAAACCTGCATTCAAGTTTTTTTCATTAAATATTCATCAGTTAGTGTAATTTAATCAGGAGCATAAAAGAAAGGTCCGGTTTATCTCTCTCACGACTTCATATTATGTGAACAATTGAAACACATACCATCTTGATCTGGGCCTTAATTGATGCAATTAGACGTGTATATTCCTCTATTTGCCTGCACATTTAATTGCAAAAGATCTACACTTAGTTTAAGGCAAGAAACATGACTCAGAAGAATATCGTTTGAACTGTTGAACAGAGTGTTTCCACTCAAAACATGTAAAAATGAAGTCACAAAACATGCGGAGAAGGTTTTTCCTCTTTCTTGAGTGTGAAAGGTTCAAATACGCACCCATCCTTCACTTCCCTCCACCCCAGAAAAAAAACAAGAGCTGAACTAGGTGGTTCCAATACCAAGAAAGTTAAAGTGAAAATAGAGAAGAAGAGGGAGCAAAATAAGCACAAACATCTAAGCTGATTAGACATTGATATTCACATGCTCATATTCGATCTTCCTATCTTTTAATCAATAGCACAGTCTGATTAAAGTTTATCCAAACTGGAAAACAAAAACATGCTTGAGCAGAATAATTTGGAGTTGTTAGTTGAGTTATGCTGTCAGTGGATCGTAATTAAGGTGGTAGTTCAGGAGATTTTAGCTTTACCAGTACTATACAATCTCTATTAGAGTTGCCAATTTTTGCTTAAACAAGGTTTTTACCTTTTCCTTCACAACTTCACGGCTTGAGTTTCTTGAAAACTTTTAAGACTCTGCATTGGTGCATATTCCTCCACCTAGCCAGACTCAGTCCATTGCATGGAAAATGGCGTGATGGCTATTAAAATATGCTACTAACTACATGCCTTTGACACTGGAAAATTGCACTCGAACTTTTTCATCTCCCTTTATTAAGTGCCTGACTTACCAGTAATTAGATTTATGAAACACATCCTATCTCTTCTGATTAGCAGGAAAGAGATCCCAACTCTACATCCTATTGAATGCTCCTTGAGGTGTTTGATCTACTTTTAAGATGGCCAATTTACTGAATGTTATATTTATCTTTGCACTTATTTTCCAAATCTTAAGAACAGAAGATGGATTTATCATGTGACCAACTTATCCTTTACACAATGTTAAGATTTTGAAAGGGACTTTACTTGAATTTAAGTCCTCAAATGGAAATAAGACACTACCGATAGAAGCAGAGATTAGAAATACCTAGCTAGTTTCTCCTCCCTTGCTGATATATAATTTAGAGCTTCCGACCAAGTGAACTCCACATGAAATCCAAGTCCAACATCAACAAATATGCGTGTTGTATCTGGGCTGTCAGATCAACTCAGGAAGAAATATCAATATGCAGTGGATGAAAATACTGAGGTATTAGAAATCATCAAGATACAGATTTTCAATTGTAAATGAAAAAAAAAAAAAGCAAAAAGTATCAATACATGTTCAAATAAAGTAGACATCACTTAACTTTTATATATTCAATAATTTTCTACAAACATTTAAATAAAGATAAGAAAGACTTACACATCAGCTTGCAGGTATACTTCAGAGCCAATATTAACCAATGTCTTCAGATTAGTTACATTGTTCTTCTCCAAATTCTCTATATTACTTCTTAAATCAGAGCTAAAAAATGATACAGTTAAGAAAACTATGTAGACCTCCCTCCAACGTCAATTTTCATATAAGTAAGTAATTAAACAATTCATCCACGCACATACCTGCAAGTGCGAACTACTACTAAAAGTCCGAAAGACTGAAAAAATGATCCAACTATATGTTGGTAATGTAACAATATAATAACATGAAAAGGATACAAAATCTTTTGTTGTTCAAAGACCTTGTCCCTGCAGCCATAAAGTGGAAGGAAACAAGATGAAACAAAGTTAGGCCACCATAAGATTTTGTGCAGAAAATCTTATTACATCTTTTCTCATACATAGGTAACTTTAGCAATGTTGGGTGTAAATCATTCCATTACTTCCTATGCAATAGTTTGGACGTCCCTGTTCTTCACATATATAAATGTTAAATTTACATGTATGACATTGCAGATTTAAGCCCCAATTTGACATGAATACACTTAGTTGTTTTTTATTCCACTACACAATTGGACCATTAATACAACAACATGGCAAATAAGTTTCGAAAGAACATTCTTAAAACCACCAAAACGAGAATATTCTTGAAAAGACCTTTTAACTATAGGTCATCAAAGATCCATTCCCTTTAATAAGACAAGTGTTTAGCTGAGAAACATCTTTCTCATTCAAGGAAAGGGGTTGAACAGTGAATGAGAAAAGAAGTCCCCAAAACAAATAAATATATATGTAATAGAAAACGAGTTCAGGAAAACTGAAGTGAATGATATATTTGTTAGTACCGTTCAGCAATTGCGTGAACTAGATCTGGTTTCAGACGGCGATCAATAAACTCCTCAAATCTTTTTACTTTCTCTTGTTTAATAGTGTCCATCGCAATCCTATTACAAGATAAAATCATGTTAGAAAAAACTTAACCATCATATCAAAGATAAGACTACAAGAAACTAAGACATGAGATGACTCCAGCATTCGGAGACAGTGAAGAGTCCCTGTTAGAACACTAATTTCCACATAGATTAGAGTTTAAAGTGCCATGCCGTACGATCATAGTTTTTACGCCATTTGGCATTCTTATCATGGCCTGCTTTCACTAAGAGAGAACCTTTTCCAATTGAGGATCTATCCATATAAGTATTTTTTTCGCAGGTGTTAATGCTATAATCGTCCTAAAATCTGCATAAAGAAAATGGCACGCTTTGCACAACATCAAAAAATAGGAGATATAATAATTTATTGTATCATTTTCTACAAGTAAAGAAAGGAAATATAAAATTACCCCTTAACTTAGATAAAATGACAACAAACGTAAAGAATGTACTTCAACAATTAATTGATTGGGAAATTATTTCAACTTTACATACTACATATAGATGGATTTGATCAAGGCAAAACTTGTGAAAAGACACTATCTCGAGAATGTAGCTTCAGATGTCATGATTATTGGTTTCTAGTAACATGTCGATTAGATTCTCTTCTTCTCTTTCTTTTACCTAGTTGGTTTGGCTAAAAGCCTACCGCACTCCATGCAATGAACCACCAAGATTAGCTTAACTTCTTTTTCTACTAAGTTTTTTTTAAAAAAAAATGGTATAATGCAATAGATTATGAGAGATATTGCCTCATATGAAAGGGGGGAAATGGTTAGTATTTACGAGTAAGGACATACATGGGTGTAAATGATTAATTAATCTTCAGTTGTGTATTCATCGTTTCTATTTGTTAATTTTCTTTGTAATGCTACATAGGGTATTACTTTGGTAAATCAGATATGGATAATTTATACTATCACACCATCTCCTCACCACACCATATTTGCAATCCCCAAGCCTTGAGAAGCTTTCAAAGTAGTCGTACCTCCATTATATAAAGTATCTATCTTTCTGCTAGTACTTCACCAAAAGAGCGAAAAATTTTACTCAGCACCAATAGTTGTGCTGCCTCAATAGCAATGTAATGAGAAGAAGAATAAGCCATTGTTACCTTGTCCAAAATTGAAGCTTCCCAGCAAAATTTGAGCTTTCTGCGATTGTCACCTTTCCACAGAGTAATTCGTTTCAAATTTTTGCTTCTCATGAAAATTGAAATAAGGGAAGAGGAGCCCTAGGATGTTGCAATTTGGTGTAGTGAAAAGTCTAAAATACCCTTAGACAAGCATAAAATTTCCTTTTGAACAATTTGTATATAAATAGGGTTTAGGGTTTAAGAGTAGTATCACTCTCTCCTGCTACTTTTGTCACAAACCAGGTAGAATCAATCAATCAAATGCTTGTCTGAATATTTTTTCCATGTGGGTTTCGTCAATAAGGTTAGCTTCTTACAGAAATTTTTTCAAGAACACTCAATATATTCGATTGAAATCAGTTTCTTCAGTAGCTGAATTAACTCCATATTTGTCGGATTCTAGTTCTGATGAACAAATTGGAAATACCCACATGAAAAATAATGAGTTAACTAACAATACTGTTGAGGTGAACTCGTATTGGGTCACTGAAATGCTTAATAGTTTAAGGGAAGAGCCTAATGATGCTTTATCATTTTTTCGTCAGTTGAAAGAAAGTGGGTTTAAACATGATATTCAGACTTATATGGCTATGATTAGGACATTTTGTTATTGGGGTATGGATATGAAGTTGGATTCTTTGTTTTTAGAGGTTATAAATTTGGGAAAGAAGGGGTTGGGTTTTGAAGTTTCTGACTTGTTTGAGGAATTGGTGGAGGGGTTGAATGCTGAGGGCCCCAATTCGTTGGTTCGGGCTTTAGATGGATTGGTTAAGGCTTATGCTAGTTTAAGGATGTTTGATGAAGCTATTGATGTTCTGTTCCAGACAAAAAGGTGTGGTTTTGGATTGAGTGTGTTGTCATGTAATTATCTCATGAATAGGCTTGTTGAGTGTGGGAAAGTAGATATGGCTGTGGCGGTTTATAAACAGTTGAAGAGGATTTCGGTGAGTCCAAATGTGTATACTTATGGAATTGTGATCAAGGCATTATGTAGAAAAGGCAATTTTGAAGAAGCAGTTGGTGTATTTGAGGAGATGGAGAAAGCCGGTGAATCTCCTAATGAGTTTACTTATTCTACTTACATTGAAGGGCTTTGCTCGTATGGTAGATCAGACTTGGGCTATGATGTATTGCGGGCGTGGAAAGGAGTAAATTTACCCCTTGATGTCTATGCCTACACTGCTGTAATTCGTGGGTTTGTTAATGAGAAGAAGCTGCACGAGGCAGAAATGGTGCTGCTTGACATGGAGGAGCAAGGAATGGTCCCTGATGCCGTTTCTTATGGGGCTGTAATTAATGGATACTGCACTACAGGGAACATTTCTAAAGCTCTGGCTTTCCATGACAAGATGGAAACAAGGGGTATCAAAAGTAATTGTGTGATTGTTAGCTTAATTCTTCAGTGCTTGTGCAAAAATGGCAAGGCATGCGATGCCGTTGATCAGTTCAGTAGTTTTAAGAAGAAAGGCATTTTTCTTGATGAGGTGGCTTATAATGGTGTAATTGATGCTTTGTGCAAACTCGGTAGGTTTGAAGAGGCTGAGAAGTTGCTTGATGAGATGAAGGATAAGAGGATGACACCTGACATCGTGCATTACACTACTTTAATAAATGGATATTGCCTCCATGGACAAATTTTAGATGCGATGGGTTTATTTGATGAAATGAAAGAAAAAGGCTTGAAACCTGACATTATTACTTATAATGTGCTTGCTGGTGGATTTTCTAGAAATGGCCTTGTTAAAGAGGCAATTCACCTTTTGGACCATATGAAGGAACAAAAGTTGACACCAACAACTGTCACACATAATGTGATTATTGAGGGCTTATGCATTGGAGGTTATGGGGAAGAGGCTGAAATATTTTTCAATAGTTTGGAAAATAAATCCGCAGAAAATTATGCTGCCATGGTGAATGGGTATTGTGAATTAGGCAACACCAAAAATGCTTTTGAGCTTTTTGTTAGACTGTCAAAACAAGGTGTTTTAATTAAAAGGAAATCTCGTTTGAAGCTTCTAAGTAGCCTATGTCTTGAAGGAGAGTATGGAAAAGCGTTAAAGCTGTTTGAGATAGTGTTGTCATTAGGTGATGGCATTTGCAAAATAATGTGCAGCAAACTAATAGCTTCCTTATGTAGTGCTGGAGATATGAAAAGGGCCAGGTGGGTGTTCGATAATCTGGTTTGGAGAGGATTAACACCTGATGTGGTCATTTATACTATGATGTTAAATGGTTATTGCAGGGTGAATCGCTTGCAGGAAGCCATTTATCTTTTTGATGATATGAAGAAAAGGGGCATTTCTCCTGATGTTATCACTTATACAGTTATGCTTGATGGCCATTCTAAGAATTTAAAGAGAGATCGATTGTCATCAGATACAAGGAGGAATGACAGAGTAAGAAGGGATACAGGGTCAGTTTTTTGGAGTGAAATGAATGGGATGGAATTAACTGCTGATGTCATTTTTTACACTGTTTTGATTGATAGTCATTGTAAATCGGACAACATTGATGATGCTATTCACCTTTTCACTGAAATGATTGATAGAGGTTTAGAACCTGATAGTGTGACGTACACAGCTCTAATATGTGGCTATTGTAAGCAAGGACATGTTGAGATGGCTAAAGAACTTGTGAATGATATGTGGAGAAAGGGAATACAACCAGATAGCCATACCATTGCAGCACTACATCATGGAATCATAAAAGCCAAAAAGTTGCACCTTAGGCATAACAATAACTCAGCCCAAAATCGGAGGTATGTTCAACACGTTACATTTAGTAGAGTCGTTGTTAGTTGGTTGGTAGGCATATATGGTTTCCTTTGTTCATTTCTTGCAATATCTTCTTTACTCTTTTTGTTTTTTGTTTTGTGTTTTTTTTTGGGTATCATGCAACGGTTTAAATCCAGCAGTATGAAGCCTGGTTTTGGGCCTAACGTGGCTTGACAACTATCTGTTTTGATCTTAAGACTACAGGTTATCTAGTGTAATTTTGGCGAGGCCCAAATTGTTGCATGGTAGGGGGCCCTTGTGCTCAAGTGGTTGTGTTTCTTCATTTTCTTTGTTGAACAATCACCAAATCATTATTTTGTGCAGGAGATGATAAATATTCATTTGAATGTGAAGAGCACATACTTTGGTAATACTGGAAAGAGAAGAGTTGGTGCTCCTGATGTAACTAGCAAGCAGTGCGGTCACCATGAGGCCTGAAAATCAGGTATGAGAATTCAACATACATCTTTGCAGATGAATTCAGATGGCCACATGGCTCTGTCTCATCTCTGTTTAGTGCTCTTCCGAATGTAAGTTTTTTTTTTTGCCATTTTGATGTTCAAAATAGAGATTAAAGACTGCACTTCTGTGATCATTCATATTGCCTGCCTCCTCTGTGTTACTGTCTTCGAACATCTGTGATCTTGAATTTCCCCTTTCCTAATGCAGAAACAAGAAAGAAATTTGATAGGTATAGGGCATGTCAATACGTTCAAGATTAAGTTAATAGGTTCAACAAGGAGATAAAGAAGGGTTCAACTTGGATAAAACATGAACCTTATTATATTAACTCAGTCCTATAGTGTAATGAGCTTATGGGGTTGTGGATGCTAAATATAGAACTGAGATAACAGCAGATTCTATAAAGTCAGGGAAATATTCTTCAAAAGTGGAACCTTTAAAAGAACATATATAAATTAAGTAATCACACATCTCACATCGTATGACTGATATTTTACTTGAAACAAGGTCTGCCTCTTGTTCCCAGCATGTTTTGAGGTTGTAAGTTTTGTTTTCTAATAGGGAAGATGTCCTTTGAGTTGGCTTGGATTTTTTGCTGGGATGGTGGTAGAAGATGAAATCGTCAGATTTAACAGTTACTTTATTACTTGAGTTCTATGTTGCTGGGACTCTTCAATTTTCTTGCTGCCAACATGGGTGTGGGCTCCACACACGGATTTGGTCAACCTAGCTTGGGTACTTTGACTACACAAATTTCTAGAAGTATATTTCAGATTGGGTATTTGGTTAGATTTTGGGTTTATGTCATACACATATTCAGAGAAAGTATTACAAGACTTTGCTATATACGAGATAACTTATGAATTAAAAAGTATCATAAACATTCACATAAGAATGTAGTTCTTGCATATAGTATAACATTTGAATTGAGCAACATCGAGATCATCTCAGAGCAACTCAGCCACTATGTTTGGGTCTAGAAATGTGAACTGTTGGATGTACCAAAATATTTGTCACCTGTGAATTTAGATTCATCTTCCACGCTGTGCTTTGGTAGTAAAAACTGTTGCTCAAAACTGTACGCTCCATATTCCTTCTTCTAAATGGCTTTAGTAAAGTAATATGAAATCTTTTAGCTTACTCTTCTGTTGGAGTTCCTTTCTGATTGTATTATTTGTTTGAATTCTTCAGAATGAATGCAGATGTTTGATACTGTTGATGGAAAGCAAGAAAAACAGGTGTTCCTCTATTCCACTTGATCATGGTGATTGTTCCCCTCCGTAATCATTTATATATTCATGCATTATTCTCTCTGTAAGCTTTGTTATGCTAACTGCTATGATTCAAATTAGATGTCTTGGCTTTCACAATTTGCTGGATCTCATGGGCTTGCATTAGCAGTATGTCTGTTTTCTAGTAATCCTTTTTTCTCCCCTGGGAAGATTTGTGACTTACAAATTATGTGTTTTATGTGAACAGTTTGAAGCCTTGGCTTTTGGGAGTCACTGATATGTGTGGATGAGATACCTTCTGGTTCTGGGTTATATCAACTGTTCCTTTCTACTACGTTACGTGGGAACAGTATGTTACTCTTCAGTATATTTATTCAGTAGGCAATGGAACATATACTTCCAAGAATCCTCAAAGCAGAAATGGATTCTTGTTTTATCTAACGAAGAGTCCAGAGAAGTTTATGCTTTTAACTAACATCGGGAGACAAGATTAGGCGCTGGGCAGTGCAGTATCTATTCCAGATACAGAGGCATCAGGGGGTGCCCGGCCACCCAACCCAGCAGAGGCCCAAGTGTTGAAGTTCCAGAGCACGAGGGAATGAACTCTCTCATTCCCAGACACCTCGTCTATGTATTGTGTCTCCCCCAATTGCTAAGAAGATAGGTGCACCGTGATACGATAAGGTCCCCCTGAATGAAAAGCCAGGGGTAGACCCTTGGAGCCGATCCAATCCAGATCTAGTAAGTCTTTGAATTAAACCAACACCAAAAGTCTACTGTTGGCACACGAATGTTATATTGTATACTACTATTATAATTTTTGTTATAGATGTTGCATTTTTAATTATTTTTTTTAGTAAGGTAGGTGGTGTATTTATGTTTTTTGTTGTATCAATATTTATGATTTGTTTTTTCTCCATCTTTTGCAGGGCATTGATGCATGGAACGTTTACATCTGCTGATCTTTCATGAATGCTAGGGCTTAGTCAGTGAATCTTACAGTTTCAGAATGCATTAAGGATGGTAGATTGAATAGTTGGATGAAATGACACAGTAAATTCTTATAGTTTAATGATGTAATTTTAACATATTTTTATTAGTCTAAAAATAGAACATTTTGATATGTTCTACCTATTTTTTTAATTGAAAGTATAGAGTACGCTTAAACAAGTTGCAGAATATCATAAGTGATATCACCAGTCATTCAACTAATACATCATATATATGTTTCTTGGTCTTCCCAACGGCATCAGCTGATAAAAATCCTTCAAATCTGTAAAGGAAATTAGTCAATTAGTTGCATAAAAAAATGAATCATTCAAGAAAATCTTAATTTCACAGCGCAACTGATGCTATTTCAGGACACGGTGGGAGTGGTCTCTGTGATGTATAAAATAAGATAAGCGTGATTCAGATATGTAAGGAGGAGAGCTGATTAGGCAACACATTTAAAGCTTACGGAGGACATCACCCTAGAGAACATGGAACCCGAGGATTAAGTTAGAAGGTTAGTAGGTAGATTTTTTTTGCTCAATATTATTTTTATTTCTCTTCTCTATTATCTTATTACTTACATGACTTCTTCATTAATGTATTTCATTCAAACCTGCTTCCAAATGCTTTACAAAATGATTTGTTATTACATGACTTCTTCTCAAAACGGAGGGAGTACTTAACAAGCTAGTTTATAAATAAAACATGTTGAAACTTCAGTTGCATTGGATCAACAACATACCTGATAAGTAATTCGAGACCGAGTGTTGGAGCATTGCTGATCATTTCTGTGGATTATGACCTCAAAATCAGAAAATCCCATGTCTTCAACTTGCATTTCCTTGATGACCATAGCAGAGTCGGCGAGTGATTCTTTGCATGACTTTACCTCAATGGATTTCAGGGAAGACATGTATCCGAAGCAAGAAGGGATCACCTCAAGATATCGACATCTTTTCAATAACAAGTGTTCAAGGCATGGAAAAGCATCATCTGAGACATCCCATTCTGAAAAAGATAGATTTTCCAGCTTCAAGAATTTGAGTTTGCTGAACTGCTCATCGTTCACTTTCCACGTATTGGAACTAATGGTAACTCCTAGCAGTTTGAGTACCTTGAGATTTGAAAGTGTTGTGACTTCATCGAGGTGAATGCAAAAATTGGACAGTGTCAATTTCTTGAGGTGTGACGGGAGCTTCAGCTGATCGACTGATGTCAATGCAGCACCAGAAGAAATCTTGAGAATTTCGAGCATTGTGAGATTGATAAATGCAGTAAATGAGCCATCAAATGCAGAAACTTCACATGTCAGTCTCCGAATATTTGGTGTCTTTGCCAATATCTTATCAGCATTTTCCGCACAAGAAAAATATGCTGAGGAAAGAGTTTGCAAATCATCCATTTTCGAAGAGCTTACTAAGAATTCCTGTTCATTCTGCATAGTGAAAAATGCTTGGTCGTTTATTTGCAGATGCCGCAACTTAACCATCTTCCAAATGGTTTCCGGTAATGATATTCGTCCTCTAGTTCCTTGAACTATCAAAGTTTCAAGGTTCCAAAGATTGGCTGGGAGGGATAGTGTATCATTGTCGGTCCGAAAAGAAACATACCTCAAAAGGATCAATTCTTGTGGGAAAGAATCAATGACAGTGAATTCAAAGTCTAACACCCTCAGAAACTTGAACCTTTTAAGAATGTTTGATGTGTGGTGTATTGAAGAGAATGTAGTTCTTCTGGACTCCCTGAACTGGAAAGATTTCAAATTGGAGAAACACAAACACCATTTTGCAAGATCATCACACTGAGAATGAAGAGATAAGTGACGTGAAGTATTGCATTTTGGAGGGAAGAATTGAGTAGGATCGGAACCTGCATCCCTGTTAACGGAGAGATATGTATGATCAGATGAAGCCTTAAAGATGAATAGATTGAAAGAAAAATATTGAAGGTTTTGATTACCCATTTATCCTTTGTAAAATGTTCTCCAACTTGGCTTTCTTCCTGCAAACTTCATGCACCAGGTCATGAATGCGACATGTCTTGATCCTTCCATCAGAACTCCTTTTATCAATCATCACAAGGTTTCTCCCAACAAGATTCTCCAAGTAATTTTCTGCGATTTCCTCCAAAGTCTTCCCTGTATGAGGTTTTATGAAGCCTTCCGCTATCCACAACCATGTTAACTTTGAGACTTGAATCTCTCCATCCTCTGGGAATACTCCCAAATACAGAAAGCATGGTTTCAAATAGGGTGGTAAATTCTGATAACTCAGATCAAGAGTGCCCTCCATCTGATCCTGAATGTTTGTACCTAAATTTGTTGCCATTTGTTCCCAACAATGTTTTTCCTTCTTCATTCTTGTGAGGATACCAGCTACCAGAATAATTGAAATAGGAAGTCCGCCGCACTTTCTTACAATTTCTTGGCTGACATCTCTTAGGATAAGAGGACCACTTTCATTGTTGAACACCTTTTTGTTTAACAACATCCAACTTTCATCACTGTTGAGAAATCGAAGCTTATGGGGATCACTATCATGTTTAGCATGAGAGGCGACCCCATAATGCCGAGTTGTCAGAATAATTCTACTTCCGTTGTTATCTTCAGGGAAGCACAACTTTAGATCATCCCATGCACTAGTTTCCCAGACATCATCAATGAGGAGAAGGTATCTCTTGCGCATTAAAAGTTTGCGAAGCTTATCTGCCAATTCATTTTCAGTCTCTCTTCTAAGTTTAGCTCTTTCATCAGTAATATCATGTAGAATGGCTAGTAATAAGTCTTTCCGCGTATATTCTTGAGAGACACAGCAATGGGCATGGATGTCAAAATAAGAGACAACTGACTTATCAGAATATAGCTTGTTGGCCAGAGTTGTCTTGCCTAATCCAGCCATTCCAACTATTGCGATTACATCAAGGCGTGATGATCCTCCTTTTAGTTTGCCTATCAGTTCATCCTTCACATCCTCAAAGCCTATGATTTCTTCATTGATCCTTCGTGTACTAGCGAATTGTAATGAAGCAACACCAAAGATCCAAACGAATCCCTTGAGAACCAACTGCACAAATGAAGTTAGCTTGTTTGGAGATGACAGTATCTCATTATGAATCTCTGCTACCTCTGCCATGAGCATTCTAATATCCTCTCCAATGTTCAAGATCCAGATAAAAATACACCAGTCAGGGACATCTTTTTTCTTACAAGCATCAACCATATGTTCTACCTCATACACCAAACGAGTAGTCTTCGTTGCAAAATGTTGAAGTCCGTCTTGCTGTTCTACGACAGCTTGAAAGAACTTGAGTTCTTTCTGAATTATCGGAAGTTGGCTCTTAACTGAATCAACTGAATTTGAATACATGCTCAGAAACTTCTCCCTGTTGTCTAAAATGAAATCAGCAGACCCCACTCTGTCAATTCCTGGTAAGTTGAACTGGAGGAGGAATTTCTTTCTAGCGACGAGGTAGATCACACCTTGCATACTTTGGATTTTTCCCCTGAAATCAAGATTCTCATTATCATCATTTAATGAGAAAACCAGAAGTCCTGCATCAACAATCGCAGAGTCTATTTCTTGAAGATGATATTCAAGGACCTGTGTTGGTAGATTGACTAGAATGGCTCTGAAGAAGTTGAGCGTCTCCTGAAGTTCTGCCTTTATTGCAATGCAATTACTAGAGACTGGTAGTTCTTTTAAAGTGTGTCGAAGAGACTCCAGAAACCCAACTTCACAATCGAATACATACTTAACATTGATAACCGGATACCATTGTGACTGAACCAAATTTAGAGCTTGCAGGATATGAATATAGAACTTGCATATGCTTGGCTGAATAGGCTGGATTTTGCTCTGCAGAAGATCAGAAAGCAAAGGATCCTCTTCGTTCGGAGCTGTTTCTTGGCACATGTATTCATTGCTCGGAAGATACAACCACGTAGTCATAGTTGTTTGCCAGGCCACTTGTACAGCATGAGTGAACAAAGCATGTTGGACCTGAGTCTCTATGCATCTATCTGAAACAAAGCAGACAAAACTAGAGAGGAAATTCAAATCCTTTAAAACCATTTCTTTTTGAACCATGCTTCGTCCCCCAATACAAAGTGGTGAACTTGGATCATCAAATTTCAGTAAATTACTGATATTATCAGTAACAATGTCAATGAATTTCATAACAAAACCGGGAATCACAATACCATCCTCATTGGCTAAAACTTGACATGATATTTTGGGAACGGGGAAATTAGCCTTTATGATTTCCAACTTAGTCTGCTGAAACTCATATTGCAAGTGGCAGAAATAGTCATAAAATTGTTGACTCCACGGACTTACTTGCGTACTGTACATCTGGATGAGTTCATCTCCAGCACCGTGGAACAATGCTCGGACTTTTCCCCAGCTGACATGTGGTTCATCTTCGAAGATATGCAATTCGATAATGATACTCAGGAACTTGAAATCCCTTTTAAGGAACCTCAGTCTATCTAACAAAGACATATGTTCTTCTGAAGTTTCAAGGAAATCAGACACTTTTGATCTGAATTCCTCCAAATACATACGGAATGGTCCCCAATACTCTTCAATATGTTGCAGAACGCTAAGGGTATCAAGTTCCTGTGCAAACAGATATTCAACTAACAATGTATAGAATGAATTGCATTCATCTTCCATCCGCTGCAGAGTTTCAGATAAATGAGATACTATTGGCAAGTACTTGGCTGAAAACAAAAGGTCTTTCTCTTCAATCCTCTGCAGTGTGTCAAGGGGACGAGACTCCTTGGAAAAATGAAATCCCTGTAAAAACACATTGAACGAATGGCTTGCCTGTACAAAACGCTGGAGAGTTGTCAGGATATTATAAGGTTCCTCTGTGAACATATTGTAATTGAATGAATACCATTGGTCTTCAATCCGACTCAGATGGTTGTTGTCCGAGCACATACGGAATGAACCCCATTTCTCTTCAACCCACTGCAGAGTGTCTAGGAAATGATATAACTTTGACTGATGTTCGTCTACATCTTTTTCGATTTTCAGCAGAATTTGGATGAAATGAGCGTCGCCTCGACGCACCAATGGTTTTTCAACATACTTCACTGTGTCAAGGGGATGTGATATATTCATAGACATGTACAAATCTCTCCTCTTCTTTCTGCAGATTATGCGATAAGAGCAACTGAACAAAGTAATTAAAGGAACACTACAACTCTTCACAGGTTTCTCTTTCTTTTGTTTTGAACTTCTCTTTGTTTAGAAAACTTTGTTAACTGGACCTAACTGGTCTCAATCTGTCATCTTACTACTCCATCCGTTTCAATAAGACAAACAAACTAAAGGGAGGGAGTAATAGTTAGCCTAATTTGACCAAGTCTCATTTTGGCCTTCAAGTTTGACTAAGGGTGTGTTTGGTATGTAGAAAAACATTAAGTAAGACAAACAAACTAAAACGGAGGGAGTAATAGCTACGCCTAATTTGACCAAGTATCATTTTGGCCTTCAAGTTTGACTAAGGGTGTGTTTGGTACGTAGGAAAATATTTTCAAATTTTCCCATGTTTTGTTGGCTTAAATTTTTTATACTATGAGTCGTTTCCTAATTCGAGAGTCAGGGTCGGGTCCTAGATCAATTATCGGGATTGATTTTTGGGTCAAATATTATTTTCCTAAAGAGTATTTTCTAGTCTCAAGCCAATAATAAAAGATATTTTTTGGAAAATATTTTTCATTCACCAACCAAACATTAAAAAATATTTTCTCTACTCACCAACCAAAAATGAGAAAATAAGTTAGAAATCCACTTATTTTCCAAGAAAACATTTTACATGGATAACATTCTCTATCATACCAAACACACCCTAAGTGATTGTGGTCCTCAATGAATTTCTATAATTTTTTAATTGTTTAGTTGCTTCAAGGCATGTTCGTTAGCTTGTCTCATATAGCTAGGTTAGCAAAAAAAGCACTTGTAAATAATGCAGTTATAAGTACAAAAGAAGTCAAATATATTCAAGATCCAGTCTCAAATATGAAAGTTGAAACCATCACTAATTCAAAATCTTCTCTGTGCCCTCTATTTGCTTCATAAGGTTGTTTCAGACCATCCAAAATATGAACAACATCATTCAAGAAATTGACAGCAATTACTACTAGTTTAGCAAAATATAAAATGCAAGAACAACACTCCATTATCGTACATCATTTGAACTTATGCTATTTCAGACGAAATTTTTCTTCTGATAATATAATTAATTCTGTGTCAACATTCTAAGAAAAATCTTGCTTTACAAGACATACTTTCAAACATGTTGTTATTGAACTTCTGCTAATGCTGAAGAAATCGTCAAGGCTTCTAACACAGGCAAACTTTCTTCATTTGAGGCTTCCATTCTATATGATTTACAGCTGAAGTAAAAAACAGTACTCATCATAGAGTCAATAAGCATCACAAAAGAGTACAATATTACCAGAAGAGGCCCTTCCCATATTCTTGAAGATCCATCTTCATAGCTTATTATCTTCACTCTATGCTCAAACAATCCCTCCACAAATGTCATCCCAATAGTCGATCCCAGAAATATCAATAGTCCAACTTGTGTCTGCCCCTTGATGAGAGAACTAGACCTAAGCAACACCTCCGGTCCAGAGTCATCCTCCAAAACAGATATCACAATAGCTATATTGCAAATTATCATAGCATTTGCTAAAATTATAGAGAAAATAATCCCAACTATCATCGCGGGGTACAAAATTAAGTCTGGAGGGAACCCCATTACAGAGAAGGCACTGCTGACAGCCACGAGAAGTACAAGAAACAACGCGAGACAACCAGTAATCACCATACACACCCACATATAAGTCACCACGATACGCTTCCAAATCTTGGTGACAATGATATAAAACTTTTTAGAGTCGAAATTCTTCCTCGAGTAAGTACAATCAACAGAGTACACTATAGCAGCTTTAGACAAAAGCAACAAACTAACATATAACGGAAAACACATAACAGCTGAAATCACCATTTCAGAGAACTTTTGACACGACTGATTGATAAAAGGCTTAAGTGGAAGCCCACTCGATTTAGCCAAAAACAACAATCTTATCATCAATTTCTTCACAACGTACTGATCAACTAACACATTAGATAACAGAACAGCAGAAACAGGGCAAATTAACAATGCAGCAATTGACAAAAAACTAATTGGATTATACCGAAGAATCGTTACAGTTTCCTTCAAAATCTCCAACGCATCCATAGAATGAAAATGCCTATCTTCCAATTCGGAATCTTCAAAATCTGGATCATCATTTTTATCTTTCTCCAATGAAATTGATTTCAATCTCGGACTCAATCCAGTCAAATTCGCAGCTTCCATTTCTCACCAAATTACCTAATTTCCCCTCAAAACACAAAAACTAGAATCTGAAATCACATTTCAGATCTGCATATCTTCAGCTCAAAACTCAAAAATTAAACGAATAACATTACAGACAGAAACTGATCCAACAAGACGGGCAATGGATGTACTATGTACATATTATTCAGTAGATTCAATTAAACGGCTCTGCTTCGTAAAAACGAGTAGTTGCACACGAAAAACCAGAAACTCAAATGAAAAAAGAAGTGAAAAATGTGATCAATGTCCGAGAAATGATTAAAAGAACAAGACGAAGAATGTGCTAAGTATTATTCATGAAGTAAAAGGAGAATAACGTGAATGAAGAGGAAGAAGATTAAAAAAAAGTGAAAGTGAGATTACAAAAAGACTCAAAATAATTTGGACTTTGGATTATGGGAATTACGTAAAAAGGCAACAATATATGGTAACTGAATGCGTACGCCAAGCGCCCCTAATTATATTTATTACAATTTGACTATGCATGCATGAAATACGTACGCCTTCAACGATCCCAATATTATTATTATTATTTGGCGGAATTATGTTCTTAAGCACGCAGATAAGTTCACCATTTAAAAGTATGTAACTTTTTTTAAAATTATATGTTTTAGCATCAATTCTCATGCATGTTTCATTTAATGTGTATTATATATTAAAGAAAGAGATGTATTTCATGTATTTAATTTATTTTTTTAGGTGATAGACGCGAATAGGTACAAAAACTTTTCAAAAAATATGAGTTGGAAGTGTGTAATATGAATATTTTATCATGTATTTAGATAAAAAAAAATACTTTTAAATCTTGTGATTATAAATTAAAAATATGTAGAACATACCAAAATGTCATTTGAGCTTATAATCTTAAACGTGTAATTTAAAAAGTTAAAATAAACAATTTCTAAAAAAAAAAAGACATTTAAAAAAAGCTAATAAAGAAAGTAAGACAGCGGATGAATATATTTTTGGGTATTTTTGTCGTTTAGCCAAGTTATGAAATGTACTTTGTAAGGAAAATTAGTGAAGTCCACAAATAATATTTTTTTTTAAAATAGTGAAGTCCACAAAAGAGGCTACGCATTTATAATTTTTTTTTCTTAATGAAAAGTCAATATAATCATATGCTACACTACAAATTAAAATTGAGGAGCTACCAATTAAGGACAACCTATTAAAAGAAGAAACAGCAATATGAAAGTTTTACACCTCAAATATTTATTCAAATACTGTGTTTTCATCGAATTAGTATATGCATAATATCAAAAAGGAAATTAATTAAATTTCAAAATGTATGAATGCATGTTTTATGCTCAGTAATATAAATCAAACTGACTAGTATATTGTCAAAAAGTAAACTAATTAAATTAAAAAATGAAGGTATGTTTTGTGGTCAATAATATATAAAAAATTAAACCGACTAGTATATATATTATCATAAAGAAAAGTTATTGGTTCATAACTAATCTTGAACTCATACTAAGAAGATCAAGTAGTCAACTTCACAAAATTGAACTCATAATACAAATAAAAATAAAATTTAGCTAGAAACTTGACAAAAAAAAATACTTGAACTTATGACTTTCTTTGTACACAATACTCTAAATAGTAACGAGCAATCTCAATTATTCTATCACATCTTCTGCGGTGTAAAACAAAAGCACACGCAGAGAAAAGAAAGAACAAGTGCAACCATTGAACAGGAAATGGAACAGAGAAGAACTTTATCTTGCTTGAACTTAAGCTCCATTCTTTTACCACAGACACTTAGAATTATATATAAAATAAGCATAAATTCTAACCCCCTACAATAACACCAACAAATAAGACTCCTACCCTAATAAATAACTAACATGATCATCATTCCTAAATATATAGAAATTGTTATTTGACTCGTAAGCAGAAGTAAAATAGTAAAAGAAAACTCTAAGATAGCACTAATTTTTAACAGGGTGATCATATATTAACATCACAAGTTGGTCAAATGAGAAAACTTCCAATGCCACTGATGAAAATTATTTATTTGAATATTTCTTACAGTTATAAATAGTCAAAAAAAAGAAAGTCTACGGGTGTGTTTGGTATGAAGGAAAATGTTTTCCATGAAAAATGTTTTTCTAGAAAATGTTTTCCTGGAAAACAAGTTGATTTTGACTTATTTTCTCATGTTTGGTTGGTGAGTAGAAAATATTTTTCGGAAAAGATTTTTAGTGTTTGATTTATGAATGAAAAATATTTTTGAGAAATATTTTTTATTTTTACTAGAGTAGAAAATAATTTTTGAAATTGAAAATAGTTTTTAAAAACAAACTTAATTTTTTTTGGGGAGTGGGGGGTGGGTGAAGGGGGGGGGGGGTCAAGGGTAGGGGTGAAAAATTAAAATTTTGAAGTTGAAATTATTTTTTAAAAACAAACTTAAATTTTTTTTTTGGGGGGTGGGGACTGGTAGGGGGTCGAGGGTTGGGGTGAAAAAATAAAATTTTGAAGTTGGAAATATATTTTTAAAACAAAATTTAATTTTTTTTTGGGCATGAGGGGGGGGGGGTGCTGGTAGGGGTTGGGTTGGGTGGGGGGGACTGGATAGGGGTGCAAAAAAATGAAATTTTGAAATTGAAAATATTTTTGAAAAACAAACTTAAAATTATTTTTTGGGGGTGGGGGGAGGGGCTGGTAGGGGGGTGGAGGTCGAGGGTAGGGGTGAAAAAATGAAATTTTGAAATTGAAAATATTTTTTAAAAACAAACTTAAATTATTATTTTTTTGGGGAGGTGGGGTGGGGGGCTAGTAGGGGGAGCGTGGGTGGGGGTTCTAGGGGTGAAAAAATGAAATTTTAAAATTGAAAATATTTTTTAAAAACAAACTTAAAATTTTTGTGGGGGGGGGGGGCTGGTGGGCGTGGGTGGGTGGGGGGTGGGTCAAGGGTAGGATGAAAAAAATGAAATTTTGAAGTTGAGAATATTTTTTTAAAAACAAACTTAAACTATTTTTTTTTTGGGGGGGGAGGGGGGTAGGGGTGTGTGGGTGGGGGGTTGGGTAGGAGGTGGATGGGGGGTCGAGGGTAGGGTGAAAAAATGAAATTTTGAATTTGTAAATATATTTTTAAAAACAAACTCAATTTTATTTTTTTTGGGAGGGGGGGACCGGAGAGGGGGATGGATGATCGAGGATCGGGATGAAAAAATAAAAATTTGAAGTTAAAAATATTTTTTAAAAACAAATTTAAATTTTTTTCTTTTTGAAGGGGGTTGGGGGCTGATAGGGGGGTTGATGAGGGGAGGGGGCGAGGGTAGTGGGTGGAGGGTAAAAAAATAAAAAAATTGAAATTAGAAATATCTTTTAAAAACAATTTTTAATATTTTTTTGGGAGGGAGTGGAGGTAGGGGTGAGAGTGGGGTAAAAAAATTGAATTTAAAAACAAGCTTTAAAATTATTTATTTTTTTGGGGGGCGGGGTGAGGGGGTTTGAGGGTTGGGAAAAAATAAATTAATTTTTTCAACAAAAAGATAATTGTAATTTAAAGTTGGAAGAGAGTTTTGGAAAATGTTTTCCTTAAGTTTAGAAGGGAAGTCATTTTCCTTAAATTTGAGAAAAATGAGTTGATTTGGAAAACATTTAGCCCAACCAAACATGAATGTTTTCCTTCATACCAAACACACCCTACATTTTTGCGGCGTAACATGCTCATAACAAGTAGTAGTATTAAAAGTATTTGTTTTCCTTCAATTTTCATTTCACATCAATCATCATCTTCTTCTTCATCATTAATGTCTTCTTCTACAGAAAATGGTAATGGTATCCCCTTATGGAGAGAGATCCTAAAATTATCTACTCTGATAAACAAAGCTAAATCAGAACATTTTGATGTCCTTACAATCTTCTTTCTCTTGCCCTTTCTTTTCACTCCCACCGTATATCCTTCTTTCCACCTCGCTCTCGACTATCATTTCAACAACAAACTTATTCAGTTCGAAATTTCCCTCTCCAATTTTGAAATTATCGCACTCATAATATGCACTCTCTATTTTACCCTGTTTTTCCTCTGTGCCGTAGCCACATTTACATACAGCGCCGTTCAAGCATCCTATCGTACACCCATCAACCTTGTTTCGTCTATTAAATCTATTAGAAATTCCTTTTTCCCTCTTCTCTCCACTTTTATCGTTTCTCATACCATTCTCATTTCAATCACTCTCATTTTCGCGTTAGTTTTAGCCCTCATATCCCGACTAATTCAACTCAAATACTATCTAAATCACTTGACTATTTTCGCGTTAATTGTACTCGTACCAATTCTGGTTTGGCTACAGGTGAACTGGTCATTAGCTTATGTGGTAGCAGTGGTTGAATCAAAACAGGGCTGCGAGACACTAAGGAGAAGCGCGTATTTAGTGAAGGGGGTGGGGGTGAGATCAATTGCTTTATCGATGGTGCTATTTTACAGGCTTGTGGTGGGAGGAATGGTGGTTGGTGGTTCAATGCTTTTTTTCATAATGTGTACATCTGATCAGTGGATCATCTCAGCGGTGATATTGCCCATATTAGTGATTTCAGTAGTGATATCATATAAGACCATGAATCAGTATCTAGTCGGAAACGCTGTCTTGTATATGTATTGCAACGACTTCAATGGCGAAAAATTTCCCTTGGAGATTGGAGACAACGAATGTAGCGATGAGCATCAATCTCTCAACACGGTGTGATATTTTTTGCGAAAAACATTTGAACATTTGAACAATAAATTCTCAATCATATCAAAGGAATTCAACAGTTTCGATATATTGTTGCAAAAAGTATTCGTTTGACATTATTTGTATAGTATATCTTGTTTACGAAGGAAATTCAGTTGAAACCCCTTATCATGTCAACACACTCGACTTATTGAAACTTTGGCATGTAACTTGAACAAATATTTTGTCCTAGCTGATTTATCTCCCTTTTTTTTCTTTCAAAACTATAGTTTATGTTAGGATTTTTCTACTACAATTACTAAGAGAAATAATTTAACAAAAAGATTAGTTCGAGCTTTGGGAATGAGATTTCCTTTGATAAAAAGTGTTAAAACACGGCATAATACATATATTGGCCCCTAAACTTGGCTTCAAATTTTAACTTTGACCTCCAACTTTCATAATGCACAAATAGGCACTTTAACTATCCTACCTTTAAATAAATAAACACGCGATTTTTGGAGCCAAAAGCGTGAAATGCAAGCGCTGCCACGTGTATTAGTGACCCACTCAATGGCTGCCAACTATTCAATGCATGTGGGCCCGTTTTCCTGTCTATTTGACACTTTTTCAATTTGCCATGCATTTATTTTAATGGATATGGACCCCACCTCACTAATTTCATTCCCTTCTCTTTATTTTTGCCTCACAACTTCTTTCTTCACTTTCATTTTGTGGTAAATTAATATTTGAAAATGTCAATTATTCAATTTATAATTTATTTGTCTTATTTCTTTTTTTAATTTATGTGTATTCAAAGATTACATTTAAGATACTATAAATTATTAGACTTAATATTTAAAAAAATTTATTACAAATTTGAAAATTACGTAATATACACTATTAATTACAATAATTACTAATTTAAAATATTTTTTCAATCTAATAAGAACCTACAAACACACTATACGTTATATTTAAAAGTACTATAAATCATAATTAAAATATATTTTTTTTAGAAAATTTTTTGTTGACTCTTGAAATTCTATCGGTGACACATGAATTTGAATAGATGGAACAATATATATTATTGAAAGTTAACAATAATATAAGTTATTCGAAAATGACGTTAATGATTTTTATAAATTATAACAAATTAGCAACTAAAATATTTTTGAAAAAACATACAAAAAATTAGTTGATGAATCAGCCACCACACCGTGGACATGTATGCTTTTTGTGATTAAAATTGAGTTTAAGGGTTATTTTGGTCATTTAAGGATTTTTCTTTAAACTTCAAGCTTTATTAATAGTGATGTATTCATTTTAGAGTTAACATGAACATTTACTACCATATAAATATATAAAATTTATTCAAATTTAAAACTATTTATTTAACGTCAATTAAAAATTAACTTTTAAATTAATTATTAGCACGGGCTCTTCATCACTAGTATATAATATAATAAGCGGGAATAGAGAGGACGTTGGGGTCGACACGTGTTCCTTTTTCCTTCTGGACAAAAAAAGACTATACAGGCAGGAGGTCAACCTGTAAAAAAAAAGGGGGACCCATATTTTACTATTGAAGGATGCGTGTTTCTTTTAAATTTCTTTTACCATACTAAATAATTGTATAAAATATTATAAATCACGATAATTAATTACTTAAATATTTAAAAGATATAAAAATATATAAAAGATCTGATTGACTCTTCAAATTTTACCGGTGACGCATAAATTCGGACAAATGAAATAATATATATTATTTGAAAATTTCTTAGAAAGTACTATAAATTACAGTAATTAACAGCTAGAAATATTTCAAAGACAAAAAAAATTGATTGAATCTCAAAAAAAAAATTTAGTACTACACGTGTTCCTTTTTCCTTCTTGCCAAAAAAAAAACTTCATTATAATTTTTTTTTGTAATAACAAATTTTTTTATTAAATGTCACTTGCATTTTGCAGTAAACAACAAATAATGCAAAAAAGAGGGGAAAGTTGTTGAAAAAAATATAAAAAGGGTTTAATTGTCCTTTCAATGCTTTTTTACTGTTGACCCCCCTGAATTTTTACATCTGACGCGCCTAATTTGAGTGTATTTCACGCATTTTGCCAGGTAGGATCCGAGTGTTTTTTTGTTTAAGTTTTGGATAGTTAAAGTGCCTATTTGTGCATTATGAAAGTTGGAGGTCAAAGTTAAAATTTGAAGTCAAGTTTAGGGGTCAATATATGTATTATGCCGTTAAAACACCACTGACCTATGTACGACATGAATCTAAATTAATCTGATTAATAGATTTGGATAATGGATGCTTAATGAAAAAGTAGAATTTTTGCATGTTGAAGTCCATTGCTACTATCGTCTTTCCTTTGATAACATCTAGTTAATGGTGAAGAAGAAACAGTCTCATCACTACATCACAACTCATGTTGGTGACAAAAAAAATACATTTGTGAATGCTTTATTACGTACTCTTTATTAATAGTTTCCTCGATATAGTACTTAATTAAGCTGAGCACCGATAAAACAAATTTGTAGATTACTTGTAATGTGATGTGATGCGCCAAAATCAAGTATATGTAATTTTGAGTTCCTTATTACAATAAATAAGAATATCCCTTATTAACGGTATGTGAACATCCATCTCTATTTTACTCTCCATTCTATATATTTGGAGAGTAAAATAGAGAATGTGTTCTCCAAACACTCTCTACTCTTTATTTATAGAGAGGTGAATAGCAGTTCTCCAAGCAATCTCTATTTCACTCTAAATAATAACGAGCATCTCAATTATCCCATCACATCCTTCTTCTATGGTGATCATATATTAACATCACACTTGGTCATATGAGAAAACTTCCAATGCCACTGTTGAAAATTATTTAATTGAATATTTCTTGAGCAATAAATAGTTAAAGAAAAGTCTCCATTTTCGCATCGTGACATGCTTATAAGAAGTAATACTAAGAAAAGATGCAGCAAGCAAGAGTAGTAGCAATAGTTGTTGTATCTCAATTTTCATCTTCTTCCTCATCGATCTTTAATTTGTTCGTCATCATTCACCTCCAATATTAATGTCTTCTTCTACAGAAAATCGTAGACCCCTATGGAGAGAGATCCTAATATCATCCACCCTCGTAAGAAAACCTAATTCAGTACATTTTTGTGCCCTTTCAATCCTCTTCCTTTGGCCCATCCTTTTCACTCTTAACGTATATCCTTCTTTCCACCTCTCCCACTTTCATCCCGATTACGATTTCACCATTTTCACTCAACTTTCCCTCTCTAATTTTGAAATTATTGCACTTATAATGTGCACTCTGTTTTTGGTCCTGTTTTACCTCTGTACCATAGCCACATTTACATACAGCGCTGTTCAAGCATCCTATGGTAGACCGATCAACCTTGTTTCCTCTATTAAATCTATCAGAAATTCCTTCTTCCCTCTTCTCTCCACCTTTATCATTTCTCATACCATTCTCATTTCAATCACTCTCATTTTCTCCATAGTTTTAGCCCTCTTATTCAGACTATTCAATTCAAATACAATCTAAATCACTTCATTATTTTCGCGTTAATTGTACTCGTACCAATTCTGGTTTGGCTACAGGTAAACTGGTCATTAGCTTATGTGGTAGCAGTGGTTGAATCAAAACAGGGTTATGAGACACTAAGGAGAAGCGCATATTTAGTGAAGGGGGTCAGATCAATAGCTTTATCGATGGTGCTATTTTACGGGCTTGCGATGGGATGTTCATTGGGTGGTTCCATTTATTTAGTCATCATAGGTAAAGCAAAGGGCGAACAATGGAGCTTCGTAATGGTGATATTGTTGCAGATATTTCAGAGTTTAGAAGCCGGATATGTGATGATGAATCAGTATCTTGTCGGTAACGCTGTGTTGTATACATATTGCAAGGACTTGAATGACCAAAACTTGTCCGGAGACAGCGAATTTGGCAGTGAATATGTATCTCTCAACATGGTGTGATATTTTTCGCAAAGAACATTTGAAACTATGACCCTTTGCCTCCACAATAGAATCTTCAATTATATCAAAGTAGCAAAAAGTATTTGTTTTACCCTATTTGTATAGTATATATCTTTTTTACCAAGGAAATTCAGTTGAATCCCTTGTCATGTCAACACACTCAACTTGTTGGATGCATTATGTAGCTTGAACAAGTATTTTATCCTAGCTGATTTATCTCCCTTTGGTTTTTTCCCTTTCAAAACTATAGTTTATGTTAGTATTTCTCTATGGACGAATTTCATGTCATCAGAGAAAATATAATATAATATTTATTGAAAACCACATAGTTCAACATAGTATCTGACCAGACACAAGTCCTAAGATTGAATTTCATTGACATATCCATATCAAAAAGGATAACTAATGCTTCTCTCTCAGCAACTTCGAGCAAAAGAAATCGAAAAAATCTTGAAGAAGGCATATTCTAACAAATGAAGTAATTTAATTTAATATGAATGAGTACTTAAAAGTCAAGTATGAACAACATTAAAATTTATCTTTCTAAATATGAAAAAGGAATAACAATCTTAAAGAGAAATACATATAACAGAAATTGAATTTGAATATAACATATAAGCAGTAAACAAGATTATTAGTTAGTGATTAACAATTTTCACTCCTGACATGTTACCAATTCTCAAAAAAAAAATCACTCATGACTCCATCAATAGTTCCATTTTATAACTCAAAACTACTATAGATAAAATATTTATTATCATAATAATAAAAACAAACGTGCTATTCACGTTACCAGAAACTAGCAGACATAAATAAGAACATCCTTTCTTTACCGTATGTGAAGATAAATATTTTTTCCATTCCGTGTTATATAAGATAAATTTTTAAATAGATTAAGTTGAAACTACGGTTTTAAGATAGGGACAAAACATTACTATCACGACGTGGTGATAAGAAGCAACCTTCAATGCCAACGTGGAAAATTATTATTTTGGAAGCGTGTTGAAAATTATATATTAAATCTTCCATTTCATTTTATTTGTTTTTAAGTCTGTTTAAAAAAAATGTCTCTTTTTTCTTTTGTTTAACTCTTTAATTTAAACTTTTCAAGTCACAAGTTTAAGACTTAAAAATTAAAGGATATGTTCAAAATCATAAGATTTAAAAGTTTTTTTTTTTACTTTGTTAGACTTTATTTCAAGTTAAACTCAGACAAACAAATTAAAATAGATTGAATAATTATTATTTTAGCGTGGAAAATTATTTAATTGAATGTTTCTTGACCCTCATAGTTAGACAAAGAAAGAAGAAAAAGTCATTGCTAATAGCCTATATGAATTACAAAAAGTAGTCTTTGCTTCATTTCTCATTTTTCACAGCAATTCTTCATAATGAATACTTCAACAACAGAAAATGGCGGTAGCTTATGGAGTGAAATCATTGAATCAACTAGAACAATATTCAAATCTCATGTTCGCCATTTTCATGCTATTTCAATCCTCTTCCTTTTGCCTATCATTTTCTCTCTAATTTTATATCCTTCTTTCGAACTTGCCATATTTTACCCTGATTATGATTTCACTAGTTACGCTCAACTTCAATTTCCTCAAGTTTTCGCAATTTCAAGTTTCGAAATTATTCTACTTGTAGTATATGCTCTGTTTTTGGCCTTCTTTTTCATCTGTGGAGTAGGCACTACTACATATAGCGCGGTTCAAGTGATCTATGATAGACCGATCAACGTCGTTTCATCTATAAAATCTATGAGAAATTCCTTCTTCCCTCTTCTCTCCACCTTCATTGTTTCGCAAACTATTTTCATTTCAATCACTCTTCTTTTCGCCCTAATTTTGGTGTTTGTAGTGCGAATTCTTCAATCTCTTGGACTAATTGAGCTCAAATCAGACTTGGATCGCGTGTTATTTTTGGTTATTTTCTCGTTGATCGTGCTTGTACCGATTCTGATTTGGCTACAGGTGAACTGGTCTTTAGCTTATGTGATAACAGTAGTTGAATCGAAGAAAGGTTACGAGACACTAAGGAGAAGTGCCAAGTTAGTAAAGGGGGAGAGATGTGTAGCTTTGAAGATTCTTATGTATTACGAGAGTGCGATTGCATTGATGGTGGTTTGGTGTGCCATGTTTTTAGCCAGAGGCGAACAGTGGAGGAGCTTCACGGGGATACTGCTCACTGCGTTTACTTCTGTGATGGGATATATACTGATGAATCAGTATCTTGTGGCAAACGTGGTGTTGTATATGCACTGCAAGGAATTAAACGATGAGAAATTGATGTCGGAAACTGCTGCTGGAGAATACGTTTCCCTGTCCGTTGAAGAAGAGGAGAAGAATCATGATGTTGTGTAGTAATTTGGTTTGTTTTATATTAGAAAGATTAAGGGTGTGGTGCTTTGATATTGTAATTGAAGAGATGTATGAGCCAAATAGTTATATATTGATATGTAAAAATTATGGACATGTTGTGGGAATGCGGTATTGTATGTGTATTGCAAGGCATAGGTGGACCAGGAATTTGACGAAAGGTGTGCAATCTATCTTAGATGTTCCTTGACAAATGAATTTTGGTTTGGGGTATCTTGTGAAACATTGTAGTAATTGTTTTAAAAATTTCTTTGCTTAGATGTCTTTCTTTCATCCATATTCGCGGTTTTGTTTGATACTATTGTTGGGTTTTAAAGGCGTGAACAGGAAATAAAGGGTTGTGACTCTCCTGAAGAGTTGTGATTATGCCGAAGGGTTGTGACCTTTATGAAAGGTTGTGTCCTTTCTAAAGAGTTGTGACCATTTGAAGGTTATGCCTTTTCTCAAACTGTTGTGACCTTTCTGAAAGGTTGTCTTCTTTCCAAAGGGTTGTGACATTTACCCTTTGTTGGCTATAAATAGAGAGGTTTTCTCTCTCTTTTTTTCTACATCGAATTCTTCCCTTCTTTTGCATACATTTCCTACAAAACAAAATCGATTGATCGTGTCTGTGTGTGTGATTCATTGTTGTCATTTTGAGTTCGTTGAAATTATCGAAGTTTGAGGTACCGCTACTTCTTTAATGGTTAATCTATTTTATCTTGGGAGGAATTAATCTGCAACCTCGAGTACTTGAGGGGATTAAATTTCTTAAGGACACACCGTGAGTTCTGTGGACTTGGATAGTTCTTTGTGTTTTTCTTTTCATCTTTTATTATTTCTGGTTTGCTAATCTGAATACATGAGTTAACAACTATTTCATGTTTTCATTGGATTATCGTAGGTTTATCTAGCAAGTATAATGACATGCGGATATAGATTTTGGGTCGTGACAATAATAAATGTCTTACTTCCGTAATATAACATGATCTATTGTACATACCAAAACCATTTGGCTCACACAATCTGTTCAATTTATGAAGACAAACCAAATCTTACACGATTTGTAAAGAAATTAAACAGCCTCAAGCTATCACAAGGGAAACTTCAAAGAAACCAGCGACTAGACGATTTGATTAGTCTTTCACCCTTATACCTAAGTCAGACGATCGATTTGCATGTTCAGTATTACTGCAGCCTTCAGGCACAAGAATTTTCTCTCGATTCACCTGCTCAGACATAGTTCACCATCTTTCAGTCCCGACAAGTACTACACAATATTATGATTCTTCTCCTCCTTGTCCAATGGAACTGATACATCTTCAAATGACAATTTTTCGTCTTCCAAGTCCTTGCAATACATATACAATACCACATTCAATACAAGAAACTGATTCATTCCCAAAGTTCCGAGCACTGTACACTGCATAACTTGTGATGTAATAGAAAAACTCCGCCAATGATCATCCTTCCCCACACCCAAAAGCACAAAAACGACATTAGACCCAATCACCATTGCTCCCAACGCTAGCCCGTAGAACAAATGTGTCCAGAAAGCTACCCATCTCATCCCTTTCACCAAATACGCACTTCTCCTCAGCGTTTCGAATCCCCATTTGGATTCAACCGCTGCTATCGCATAAGCTAATGACCAGTTCACCTGTAGCCATAGCAGCACTGGTATGATCACGAGAATGAACAAAAACCAGAAGTGATTCGAGTCGTTTTGGAGTTCAATTAAGCCTAGTTTTTTAATAATTTGGAGTAAAACGACTAAGGCAAGGGCGAAAATGATAGAAACTGAAATGAAAATGGTATGTGAAACGATGAAGGTGGAGAGAAGGGGGAAGAAGGAATTTCTGATAGATTTAATCGACGAAATGAGGTTCATCGGTCTATCGTTGTATGCTTGAACGGTGCTATATGTAATTGTGGCTATGGAACAGAGGAAAAACAGGGCAAAAAACAGAGTGCACACCATGGTTACAATAATTTCGAAACTGGAAATGGAAAATTGAGGTTGACGAGTTGAAGTGACGAAATTATAATCGGGATGAAAGAAGGCGAGATAGAAAGAAGGATATACAATTAGAGAGAAAATTATAGGCCACAGGAACATGATTGAAAGTGCATGGAAATGGAGAGAATGAGATCTGAGTACGAGCAAGGTTGAATTTAGGATCTGTCTCCATACAGGGATACAATTTTCTGTAGAATCAAACGACATTGAGCTCGATGATCACCAAAGATTGATGCAGAAGAAGAAGATGAATGCTGGTGAGAAATGGAAATGAAAGAAACAGTTGTAGATATTAGTTCAAAGTAGCCTTTTCTTTGACTATTTGTACTTGTATTGGCTCTAAGATACAGTCAAATTAGAGGGACATTTAAAGCTTCTCCTTTTGTGATTTGACCAAGACCAAGTCATGATATTAATAATTGGTCACAAGCCAACTGGCACTATAGTGAAGAAGTATCGAGGAAGATAATTAAAAAGGACATGTCACAACTCTAGACTATCGATTCTAGATAATAGATTATGAAGGACACGAATTAGGATAGAGGGTTAGTTGTGTAGTTGAGAGCTGCCTCATTTAGTCATTAACTTAAAATTTAAAAAAAAAAAAAAAAAGAGAGAGAGAAATGCTAGGAACCACATGAGTTGCAGGATAAGCCAAAACCAAATAATAAAATAAAAAAAATAAAAAAGAGAGAGAAATGCTAGGAACCACATGAGTTGCAGGATAAGCCAAAAGCAAATAATATCTGTGTACTGTTTTCCTTCATTTTTCACACACACCTTGGGCAGCAGCTCCTGCTGAAGCAATTGTAGCAGCTTCTGCACCTCTAGTTGTCGTCTTCTTCTTCTTCTCATTTACCTCCGATGTCTACTCCTACCGAAAATCGTAGCCCACGGGTAGAGATCCTGAAATCAATCCACTGCATAATGAAGTCTCACTCTGTCACGACCCGATTTCTCAAGTCATGATGGCACCTACTATAACCCACCAGTAGGTAAGCCAACCTGTAACCCGGAACAACAAATAATGGGTCTGAGGGTAGAAACTAAACAAGAGTAGGCAAATAACAATATAAACAGGCGGAAGCAAACCAAAAACATCTATACAAATAAAGATCCCTCCCAGAACCTGGAAGTCACTAGTACAGAGCTACTAACAAAATGAGTACAAGTCCCAAAAGTGGACAACAGAGACTGGACTGTCTCGAAAGGTAAAAGACAAGTCTATATATACAGATGGAGACTGAAATAGTACAAAACGTCGTGTGCTCACTCCCGTCTCCGGATCAGTCTGCTCCAAGCTCGATCAACGCTGGCTACTAGTGCCCAGACCTGCATCACGAAATAGATGCAGAGCGTAGCATGAGTACCAAAACAACAGGTACCCAGTAGGCATCATAGGCCGACTGAACTTGAAAAGTAAAGGCAATATGAAAAGAAGGAATAACACAAACTGAAGGTCAAGAGCGGAAATCTAAGTAACAATGGAATGCACACGAGTGTATAAAGAACTAACTAAAGTAATCTATAAGCTAACTACAAACCGAAGGTCAAGAGGGGAAATCTAAGTAACAATGGAATGCACACGAGTGTATAAAGAACTAACTAAAGTAATCTATAAGCTAACTACACCTAACTGGACCCCCATATGCCCAGAAGGTACACTCGTGCGCAAATTAAATAAAAACCCGAACGGACCCCCATAAGCCCGACGAGTACACAGAATAACTATAACTAAAGAGAATTGCATAAAAGAACCCAAGAACGAAGAACATCAAACCAGAACCTCAACCCTAATTAGTAGAATCTGACAGTACGGAGGCCGGACCTCGAACCGGATACTCACAAGAAATACCCAAGTAACCAATCACAAGCAACAAGTATAAGAGGCCGGAACTCTAACCGGATGCTCTATATAAGTATTGGCATAGAGCGAACTCTAACCGGATGCTCTATATAAGTAACTGGGCAATAGAGGCCAGACCTTAAACCGGATGCTCTATATAAATATTTGGGCAATAGAGGCCGGACCTTAAACCGGATGCTCTATAAAGGTGCCAATGTAGCTGCTGAAAGAGTCCTAATCGATCCACACTCATAAATGTCCGTGGAACGCCATCCATACTTAGCCAATCAATGTAAGTCCTTGGAACCAAATCAAAAATCAAATTCAAATCGCGAAGTAGAACTAGTGTCGCCGACGTAACTCGTGAAGCCGTAACATCGGGAAAAATAAGGATAACTAAAGTCGGAGCAAGCGTATCGCCTAACTAAGGCCAATCTATCAGACTCAAGTCTGCTACACCAGTCTACAGGGATCTAAGTCGGCCGAGCGACGTCGGGGCAAAACTAAGGCCTATTGGATCCGAATAATGTATTTCTAAGGCAAGCCCTAGTCAAACCTAAACTAAGGCCCAACATTCTTCAAATAAACAATAATTAAGCATGCAAGCACTCCACATAGCGAGGAGGGTCCATTAATAACACAAAGCATGCTCACAGTTACCCGATAATTCCCGAAATAGGTCGAAAACATGATTTCTTAACACCTATGTAGGATTCAATAACTACCCAACCCAAATCCCACTAATCAACATGCATTCACATTCTCGAGCTCAATCTAAGAGAGGGAAAACCGTAGCCTACCTTAACGCCGATCACACGCGCTCCAAAATCACTTCTTCGGAGCTTTTCCTTTCCGAACGTTCTCGAAACGCTGCCCCGCTATCAAAAATAGAGTCAAAACGTTATTACAGTCGTTTAGACACCAAAATCACAACAAACGGAGACGGGTCAATTTTGGAGTCAAAACGGAATCGTGGGACCCGCGCAGGGAATTCCGAAATTAACCCCAAAAGTGGGTCCTAACCAGTTCCCCCAGCTCATTTCCCATAATGGGACACAATTCGGGGCTCGGGAACAACACAATATCAACAAGCAACTAAAACCCAATTTTTCTCAAAAGAATAGAAATGGGACAGCAGCTAATTCAGCGTTTTTACCAAAAACGGGCGATCTACAGTAAAATTAACAACACCACAATGTTCTCCTCGAAAAACCATTCAAGATAGCGTCAAAAATCATCCAAAATCGGATCTAAAATGGCTAAGAAAACAAGCCTTAAAAATTCCCAAAAACAAACTCACAAAAAGGGTCTGGCAGCAGGTGTTTTTCGAAATTACCTCAAACGGGGACTCCAAATCACTATCCGAGCTCACCAACACGTTGTCCTCAAAAAATCTCACAACTTAGCCTTTTGGATCACCCAAATCGGTTGAGAGATGAGAGAGAGATGAGGGTTTGAAGTTTGAGAAATGCTGCTGATTTTCTGCAATTATTGCAGAAAATCTACAACATTTCCAAAACTTAAAATCCCGACGGGGTGCTCCGAACTCGTTCGGAACCCCGTGCACGCAAACGAGATATGCAACCATACCAAATTTGATATTCCAGACTCAACAGCGCAGTCGAAATTTCCATCAGAGGTCATTTCGATAAAAAGTGGGTCCCACTTCCAAAAGCCCTTTTAAGTCAAAACCCACAAAAGGGCTCGGAAAGATATCGAAAACCTCCAGACACAAAAGAAGGGTCAATCTAGACCAAACTCGACATTCCGGAGCTAACCACGCTGACGGAATTCTCATCCGAGCGCGTTTACTCAGAATGTTGACCAAAGTCAACCTTAGGCTAAAATTCAAAGGCTAAAACGCCTAATCGCACAGACTTACACTGAAAACCTTGGGAGTCATGTCGACCATGCTACTAGCCTAAAATGACCCTTTCGGAGCTGATGAAATCGTCAGAATTGGATTCCGATGTCATCTTCTTGAACTTTTGATCGAAAATGATCGTTCAAGGTTCATAAGTTCCAAAACACAAAAACTCGCACCAAGACCAAACGAACGACTAGGTGACCGAACTGTCAGTCCCAGCAAGTCATAAATGACTTGGGGTCGCTATAGGAACGCTCTAAACGACACATAGAAGGCAAGACACAGAAATGACCATGAGGGTCATTACACACTCTCTACATTTCCATGGACTTTCAATTCTCTTCCTCTTACCTATCAGTTTCACTCTCATCATATATCCTTCTTTCCACCTCGCTCTCTTTCATCCCGACTATAATTTCCACCAGCTTGACTCCCATTACCTTCCCCATTCCAGTTTCGAAATTGTCCTACTCATACGATACACTCTCTGTCTGTCCCTCTTTTACCTCTGTGCCGTAGCCACAATTACACACAGCGCTGCTGAAGCATTGTGTGATAAACCGATCAACCTTCTTTGCTCTGTTAAATCTATTAGAAATTCCTTCTTTCCTCTTCTCTCCACTTTTATCCTTTCTCATACCATTCTCATTTCAATTGCTCTGTTTTTCGTCATACTCGTTGTTTTCTAGTCCAAATTCTTCGATCTATCGGATTAATTGAACTCAAATACGACTTGAATCACTTTATATATTTGTGTTTTTTCTCGTTGATTGTGCTTGTACCGATTCTGGTTTGGCTACAGGTGAATTGGTTATTAGCTTATGTGATAGCAGTGCTTGAATCTAAGTCGGGTTTCGAAGCACTGAGGAGAAGTGCGAATTTGTTAAAGGGGAAGAGATGGATAGCTTCGTACGTTGCTGTCTTACGGGCTATTGATGGGACTGTTGGTGGTTACTCATTCCATTGTTTTAATCATGGTGGGTGTTGCCCAGGATAGCGTGGTGGCTATATTCGGGTTGTGGCGGGATCTCTTATGATGAATCACTATCTTCTAAAGAATGTGGCTTTGTACATGTATTGTAAGGACGAATTCTTCAATGGTGAAAAATCGCCATTGGAGATCGGACACAAGTTCACCGGAGCTAGTGAGTATGTATCTATGCCAATGGCTGATGAGAAAAATCATGCTACTGAATAAGTTTGTTTAATTTCTCTATAAATTGTATTATAAAATTTGGTATGTTTTAATCGTGTGATGCTTGTTTCTTTCCTCTCTCAAAGTCAAGGATCCTTTGGAAACAATCTTTTTTAAGTAATCTGAGTTAGAACCAATATTGTTTTAAGCATATGAATTTGGAAGTACTCTTACCATTGGTACCAAGATATGAATCTTCGAGTGATGAATTGTTTAGTTACTCCGATCTCCAAGGATAATTTTTCACCATTCAAGTCCGTGCATGGCATATACAACTCAATATTCCCTAAGATACTCATATGAAAACCTATTTTTGAAATAATGAACAAGTAAAAATGAACGTACTCACATATTCTACTACCCATTCCTCCGTAACGACCTCTTACTGTTATAGAGTGTGGTGAAATTGACGGGATTACTCTACCTTTAATAGTCATGATATATTATTGACTTACCATTTCGAAACTCCATGGAAGGAAAATATATGTTGCCTCCAAACTACTTCAATGTCAAATATGCACAAGTCATCATCCACGGGAAGAAAGAAAAGCACTAGACTTTATCTAAGTCTTTGATTAACTTCAAGAAGCATTAGACTTCTTTATTTTACTTGTAGGGCTCCACAAATAACTGTCAAACTAAATTCCAAAATATATCTATGTTCTTTCCCTTGAAAAAAGAAAATCAAAATGACTACAATACATAAATCTCGACCCCAAGTGTGGTTGAAGGATTAAGATCTCTTTATTCTTAACCAAAAGTTTCAGGTTCAAATTTTGAAGTATCCTAATGCAAAGCTCTTTCTCCGTTAGATGCGGCATAATTAGTCAAAGAAAAGGCTCCACTGGAGTGTCTGAGCAACATAACTGATAAGAATTATTTTTCAATCCTACTATTAAAAATAATTTTTTGATTTTTTCTTGAGCTAAATAGTCAATGAAAAGGAACAATTTCTTTCATTCTCCATTTCACAGCATTCATCATCTTCTACTTGTTCTTCTTCCATTGTTGCTCGTCATCCATTATCTACCTCCAATGTCGATGGAACTTGATCGCATATGGAAAGATATTCAAATATCATTAGATCACATATACAAAGCTAATTCTGATCATTTCAATGTCCTTACAATCCTTTACCTCTTACTTATCTCTTCCTCTCTTATTTTATATCCTTGTTTCCACCTTGCTCTCTTTCATCCAGATTTCGTCACTTCCATTCAATCACAACCCCGTCTTTTCTTTCCCAATTTCGAAGTTATTGTATTACTAGTCTACGCTCTGTTTCTCGCCCTGTTTTTCTTTTGTGCCGTAGCCACAATTTCATACAGCTCCGTTACTCAAGCGTGCCACGATAGATCCATCACCTTCATTTCATCTATTAAATCCATCAGAAATTCCTTTTTCCCTCCTCTCCACCTTTATCATTTCTCACACCATTTTCATTTCGATCACTCTTATTTTCGCACTAGTTCTGCTTCTCTTATCCCAAATTCTCCAATCTCTCGGATCAAATCACTTGTTATTTTTTGCGTTTATTGTGGTGTTACCGATCCTGCTCGCTATGGCTACAGGTAAACTGGTCATTAGCTTATGTGATAGCAGTGGTTGAATCAAAATCAGGTTTCGAAACACTGAGGAGATCAAGTGCTTATTTGGTAAAAGAGAAGAGATCAGTAGCTTTTCGGATACATTTGAATTTCGGGCTTATGGTGATTGGTTCTAACGTCTTTTTAGCCAGTACTATGCTGTATGGTCTAGTCAAGTCTGGTTGGTGGAGCATTCCGATGGTAATTATACGAACTATATAGATCAAAAATTATTTTTCATAGATAGATCTTCAACATCTTTAACTAAATTCTGACTTCGCCACAGGTAATGGCTACTATGATGTGGTGGATACTGGCATCTTCTGGGATTAGAGAGTTACTTATGAAGAATGTGCTTCTCTATATGTACTGCAACGACTTTAATGGCGGAAAATTGACCTCGGAGGAAATCGGAGGCAAGTTTGCAGACGAGTTTGTATATTTGCCCTTAGACGATGAGAAGAATCATGCCATTGTGTAATTTGTTTAATTTCTCTAGGGGCTCTATTTGTTTGTACTTTGTAGGTTAATTCTTCGTATGATTACTCAGTTAATAGTTATTATCTTAAAAATTTACATTTTTTCTTGTTTCTAATTTTTTTTAGCAAAGAAAATGACTTAACGAGTTAAATGATTATCTGAAAAATCTACTTCATTTGTTTATATATGCAAAGATTAATAGTAATGAATGTATTGTTGTAAAGTAGTTATTTAATAAGAGAATCCCATGTTCATAATACATGAATTAGTTATTGGGCATTTTTGTCATTAAATAATTTAGAGCTTCTTTGGATTCAGCATAATACATATTCATGTCCTTTAAATATACTTCAACTAACATTTATTCCCTCTAACTTTGAATGTGCACAAGTAAACACGTAAATTTGTATAAAATTGAATAAGTAGACACATACATACTACGTGTCATAATACATGTAGGACGTCACATTGGACACAAAATTGTCATACATGACGAATGTCTCTATTTGTTCAATTTTATGCAAGTTTAAGTGTCTACTACCTATGCACACTCAAAGTTGGAGGACATAGATGCCAGTTGAAGCTTAAGTTAAAGGGCATATTCAACTAACAATTATGACCTATAACTTTGCAGTGCACAAATACACACTTTAACTATTTAAAACTTGAACAAATAAACACTCGAATATTGTCAGTCAATATGCATGATCTACAATGTTCCTATCTGGATTAGTGACCCTATGTGTATTGTGTCACGCAGGACACATATGTCTATTAGTTCAATTTTATACAAATTAAAGTAAGTATTTGTGCACACTCAAAATTGAGAAGGCATAAATGTTGGTTAAAAGTTAAAACCAAATTAAAGAGTACGTTTATGTATTACTTCTAATTAAAATCACTTTAAAAAAAAAGAAGCAAAAAAGGGGACAATACTGTGTATACTGTTCTCCTTCATTTTCCCCAATTTCACAGCCATCATCTTCTTCCCATAGTCCAAATTCTTCAATCTATCAGACTAATTGAACTCAAATACGACTCGAAATGCTTAAAGCTTCAAGCTTGAAAGTGAGCTCAAAGCTCGTTAACTCACATACAAAAATTCAATCCTTCTACCCTGAACAAGACCTCAAGGGTCAAAAAGTTGCTATAATTGGCCTTGGAAAATCAGGCTCAGCTGCTACAAAACTTGCTCTTGCTAGAGGTGCTTCAGTTATAGCCATTGATCAAAATGAGAATTCAGGATCAACATTTAACATAAATAATGGTTTCTTAGATCTGAAAAATGCTGATTTGAAGACATTTTTTGGTAATTTTGATGATAAGATTCTGAAAGAGGCGGATATAGTTGTCGTTTCTCCTGGAATTCCACTGGAAAAGTATGGAATTCAATCAATGATATGTTCGGGGAAGGAAGTACTCTCAGAGTTAGATTTTGCTGCGCAAGTTATTCCGAGTTGTACTAAGGTTTTAGCTGTTACAGGAACTAATGGGAAGTCTACTGTTACCACATTTGCAGGACAGATACTTAATCATTTGGGTTTCGAGACGTTTGTTGGTGGTAACCTTGGAGTTCCACTCTCAGAAGCTGGTTTTCATTCGTCTAACCGGAGACCTTTAGAGGTGGCTGTGGTGGAGGTGAGTAGTTATCAGCTGGAAATCCCACCGAAATACTTTTGTCCTTCGGTTGCTGTGATCCTAAATCTTACTCCTGATCATCTTGAACGACACCAAACGATGAAGAACTATGCTGCAATCAAGTGTCGTATCTTTTCTCACATGAGAGGGAATAAAATTGGTATTCTTCCACTTGGAAATCCATATCTGGATGAAGCAGTTATGGATCACGCGGATGGTGTTAGTCTTGCTTGGATTGGAGGTTCCCCTGGTGTGAACGTTGATGTGGAGGCGAAGATTGCTGAGTTAAAGCTTCCTACAATAGGCTGTGTTTCACAATTACAATTGAGTGAGCTGAAGGCAGTTGGGAAGCACAATTACACCAATGCTGCAGTGGCTGCATTATCAGTGCTTGGGTTGGATATTGAGATCAAAGCTGAAGCTTTTAGTTCAACAATTTCCAAATTGACAACTCTGCCTCATCGAATGCAAGTTGTTCATGTAGACGATGATGGAATAGTTTGGGTTGACGACAGCAAGGCAACAAATGTTGAAGCAACATATTTTGGTTTGATTGGTTTTGAGCTGAAGTCAGTGGTTCTACTTGGTGGTGTTGCAAAGGAGGTAAAGATGAAAGGTTCTAATGGATTTGAGCAGCTGGTTGAACCTCTTCGACACCATCAAGGTGTAATCACTTTTGGATTTTCAGGAAAGATGATACAGAAGACACTCTGTGCTAATGGTCTGACTATTCCTTGTTTGAATGCTGAAACTCTCAAGGATGCTGTGAGCTTGGCAAGGAGTATAGCACAACGTGGCGATGCCATTGTACTGAGTCCTGGTTGTGCTAGTTTTGACGAGTTTAGAAATTTCGAGCACAGAGGAAGGATCTTTCAAGAGTTTGCTATCTCTTCAGAGTGACTGACCATCTCTTCCACATTCTGCTGGTCACCCGAGATGGACTATTTTCGCAAACTTTGCCAGTGAGAGTTGATTCGGTAGCCATAAATTGGAACTTTAATCCTTGTTGAATATTTGAAATATGAAGTTAATGATTTACTGAAATTTGAGTAATGCAGTATTATACATTGGCTTTTGATCATTCTTTCCTCTTAAGATTTAGGACAGTTGAATTTTGTATGCTAAGATATGGTTAGATATAGGCAAACTATGAGTTCTCTACAACAACAAACCCAGTATAATTTCACGAGTAGAGTTTGGAAAAGGTAAAATGTACGCAACCTTATCTCTACCTTTATGGAGTAGAGAGATTGTTTACGATTGACGCTTGACAAGTATCTAACCTCTGGCAAGCATTTAAGTAGTCATTGTATCAAGAATAGTAAGGCAAGCAAGAGATCCCAACATTAGAACATTGAAGGCACTCCCAAAAAAATTGTTAAGTAGAAATCCACATCTAAGTGATGGCAGCAAGAAGTGATCATTGAATGCTGCATTTGAGGACAAGAGAATAGAAAGTTTTTTTTCCACTAGACATTTACAGCACTTCTCTCACCCAAAAATCCAAAAATTTGAACTCAATGGACAATGGAACAGGCCAAGTTGAAGGTATATACTACTGGACAAACATCATCAACAAATTAAGAAATGTTAACAGATCATGTAGCTTCAAGAGCTTACAGAAGAATTCCCAAGTATGTTTGGAGGTTCAATGCTTCCTGATGTTAGCCTGGCTTGATGAAGACGGGACCATCAATCTTCTGACTCTATCATCTTGTTGATCAGAGCCAAAAAGAATGCTACTCCACCTTGTTGACCTTTGCACAATTCGGGTAGGCACACGATCACTATCCTCCCCACCAGATGCCTCGTATCCATCACTAGTCGATCTAGACAATGGAGTGTCCTTCTGAAGAGTCATTCCAGATGATAGATGACCTACAAGACGTGCAGCGTCTTCAACTCCTGAGGATGAAACCCGGAGTGGGTGAATGTCAGGAGAGTCCAAACTACTCTCAGGTGAAGAAGCAACAACAACACCTGAGGTGGACAGTCCTCGGGTTGTTCGGAAATCACTCCGTGCTTCAAGCTGAAGGGGAGCTAAACTGCTTGATGACTCAATTATCATGGGCCTTCTACTGTTTTGAGCTATATCATTGGGAATTTTACTCATGGTTTCAAAGGGTAACTCTGCAGGGAGTCGAACTCGTTTACTAGCTCTCCTTCTATTGTTATCAACCCTAGGCACCATGCGACGCCCACTACTTCCTAAACTGCTATTCGTTTCAAGAATGTAAGGTTCTTTGTTTCTCACCACTGGCTGGAGAATTTTCGATTTCTTCCTTGCTTCAGCAGCAGCTTTTGAAACATCCTCTGCATTTAATCGTGCTAACGTCCATGGGCTAATCTTCACAGCAGCTGGATTCTTTTTCTTGATAGGTTCCTCCGCCGTTGACCTTTTGCCAAGTGAACTGACCGATACAGTGTCAGGAGGAACTACATCATACTGCAGGGAACGACCAAAAATTAAACGAAAGTTAGTACATTAATCTTTTCCTATTCACCTATACAAATGCATTAAAGCACACACTGTCCAGCTCAAGAACTATACTTGATACTACTGTAGAGGAAAATTGCTCAAGTCCCTTTGGTTTTTATATGAGGAAAGAAAAAAAAAAAAAAAGCTGAATTGGAAATATTACATCAAGCTGCATGTGTCAGACATAAAAAAACAATCCCTCTTAATCTCTCAATGCTATGTCATTCTCAATCTCTAACAATAACCAGACCATATGAGTCCTACCTTAGACCAATCACAACCACAGAATCCCTTAATGGTTGTAACAGCCACACCAAAGAATCAACTTAAGAGGGAATTGTTCAAGATTTGCTATCTGTCAAAGTGGATTACTATGCTCACAAGGACAACTTGGCAAACCTCCACGGCAACAGCACAAGCTTTTATTTTGCTAAAATATCTTCATAGTTTTGATAACAGAAGAGCCAAAATACTGAACAAACATACTTTCTTACAGGAGTCCACTTCAAAGAGCCTCTATCCACAAACCGGCAAAGCATTTTCCACATTACCAGGCTAAATGGAATTTCTTTTCTTTTGGTAAGTTATGGAATTGAAGCTAAGAAATGTGAAAATAGAAACTAAATTCAAATATGAGAAGCCAACTGAAAGACAATTACAAAAATTAGCTCCACAAACTCACTAAAGGGCTGCTAATACCATAACCAACTGAAAGATAATTATAAATTAGCACTGCAAACTCAATGAAGGTCTGCTAATACCATAACCAACTGTTTAGTATTACTAAATTACTCGAACTTGTCATATTTGATTTTTGGTTGAACCATACCTGATCCTCAACAAAAAGGCGAGGTGGTGTGCACCATGCTGCTCGATGGAAAGTATTGAAGGAACTTGCACTGCTTAATCCAGTAAGGGAGCTAACAGTAGACATTTGAGGACTTTGCTGACCTGCAACTCCTTGTTGCTCTTGATCTCTGAGAGCAATGATGTAGTCATAGGTGCTAATTCCCTGTCATCCAAGCAAACACAGTCAGCTAATGTTTAAGAAAAGGAGCCACAAGATAGGATCACCAGATGAGTGATGACAAAAGACTAACCTTCTTTATGAGAAGTATGTGAAAGAAGAAGAGTTGAGCAAGTGGCAGGGTTGCTATCATGGCCAAGATGGTACAGACAGCCTGTTACATGTAGAACTAACTTCAGACACATTTCAGAGATTAAATTATACAAAAACCAACCCATGTAGTTTTGTAACGTTGTAGGCATAATTAAACAAATAATAGTGTGTTCTCTCCAACCGCTTAAACTTTTAGATGAGATGGTCACACAAATCATGGTATTGGAGTAAGCACAGGTTCTAGGTTTGATCTCACCGGCCACCGCCAGCCCTTACCAAAAAGAATTTCCATGTATTTGGCTCAAGGAAAAAAAATCAAGCCTGCACATGAAGGGCTGTGTTGAAGACCTAATTAAGCAAATAAAAAATTATGCTCTCTCCAACAACTTGAACTTTTAGATAAGACTGGTCACATAATTCAACACTTCATTTTCTGACACAACTTAGAATTGGTATTTACAGTTGTGTTACTTCTTTTTCTGCTTACGACTCCATTTTACAAAATGAAATTATAATAATGACATGATAGAAACATGGGGTCCTGACATAAGGGAGAAATGCAAGGACACTCACCACTACGATAACAAAGGGAACAATGGAGAAACTGCTTCCTAATTTGGAGGTGATCTCCGCAGAAAATTTCTTCTTTTCAACAAAGCAGCAGATAAGAACAAGAATTCCAGTTGACCACTGAAGTATAAGCTGCAATCTCAAGTCCAAAGTGCACAAACCAAGTAGACCTGTCAATAGTCAATTAAATGGAAAATGCACAAATATGAAAGGTTTAAAATATCTGAGATGACTCTGATTGTGGGTAAGTTTCTTTGGGATACAAGGGAACAGAAAAGGAGGTTCTTTCTATGACAGTTCAGACGCGGGCAGGAAGGGCATAACCAATAACCAAAAGGAAGTAAAAGAGAAAGAGGCCGGAGGAAAGCTGAGGGAGAGAGAGATAAAGTTAAGAAATGACTGATTTATAAGTGAAGATGCCATTTCAAATTTCAGGGAACGGATACACCTTCAGATAGAAATATTCTAATAGCATGTCGGACTCGTGATCTAACATAGAATTCTGTAGAAATGTGTAAGCACACTAAAAAGCTGGCAAAGAGTGCTTGATCATACCAGCAGGAGGGCTGAAACCATGAGAGTAAAGAACTTGCGATAGTTCCTTTTCCCTATACAGTTGTTTATCCACTACAGAAACCAAAAACAGAAAAATAAGATTAAGAGGTTTTTACATAAATGTTGACATAGTCGTGCATCTATGCTGTATATACTATATTTCACTTTTCAGACTACTAAAGGTTGTCAAATACCCTGCAATGATGGTCAAACTGATCGACGCACTTGTCGCATACTCTGCAATGCTTGCTGTATTTAAATACCTGAAAGTGTCATCCAGTATTGAGTTATATCATATGAACATGTATTACAGCAATCTAACTAAAATAAGAACAGGTATATCAAGCTAAGCACATCAGTTCTAACTTTTGACATGACATGTTTAAAACCACAGGATTGAAGGGCATTTAGGTACATTCTACATATCTCTAATTTAAGACCACAAAATCCAAAAGTCTCATTTACTTTCATCAACTTCATGCCAAGTCGAAACCAAACTAACAAAGTGAAACAGAGGGAGTATATTTTTGTTTTACAACAAGATTTTTTTTGCGGAAGTAGTCTCAATTCAGTACATAATAATGCCTCTAAGTGGAAGCACTAGAAATGATGGGATGTGAAGTTGCAAACCTCTACTTCACACAAACTGCAGTAGAACATGCCATCTTCACTCAACTGTTGCTGAGAAGACTCCTCATGTCTGCCTGCGCAGTTGCTGATAATAGCACAAGGTAGTAGAGCCAACAATCCGGAAGAACAAGATCTTTGACGAGTATCTGTAATTTTCTGTTCAGTTTCATTGTGATCTGCAGCTGGTTCAGCTCCTTTATTGTTTTTCCCAGTTGCATTTTCCTCAATCGATGCAGCATTAGCATCTTGAATAGACGAATTTGTCTCACACCCTAATTTAGATTCTTTAAGTTGAACTTGCTTTTTGTGGTCTAGCTTCTTAAGATACTTCTTGGATTTAAAAACTCCTGGATCAGCAGGATCAGCAGCAGCGCACCAGATATACAAGCCAAATGCACTAATTATCTGGAGAAAACAAAGGATTATATACCAGACGCCTTCAAATGAAAACTTACATGTTACAACAGTAAAAGTTTTGAACCCATTCACATATCAAGTTGTGGATATATGTATCTAAGTCATGACAAATTAGACATCACCAAACTCATTTTGGGTAATTTTTTGTCATTCTATAAGATAAGAAGTAATTACAAATCCAGTACATTGTTGAAATCTTCTTAATTCAAAAACAACATTGTGCTACATGATGACGCGAGAGACAAAATAATTCTCTATGAAGTCTATTTTTCAGCTGGAATTGCTGAGCGCTCAAAATCTTCAATTACTTTGGACAGCTAAAGTATGACTAAAAACACCTTGGTTCATTACTTCTAGATTAAAAAGAAAAAGATGAGATTTTCTGATAGGAATACAACCTGCTCCACCAAATCAAGTTTATTATCCAAATGTTCTCAAAGGTGGCCCTAGAGTGTTGGGAGTCCGTTCAATAGAACCATTCGTCTTCAGCGTAAATAGTAGATATATATGTGAAAAAGCAAAAGGTAGTATAAATATCAAATTCTGAACCTACATTTCCAAAGAACTAAGCTAACGTTTGGTCATATATTTTGAGGTTGCAACTTGAAAATTTGAGTTTCGAAGTTTTAATTTTTGGAACTTGAAGTTAAGTTAGGACATACACTATACTTGGAAAAATTATGAAGTTTTGGGAACTTCAAAATATTTCAATATCTGATCAAATTCCATGGCCAAACAAATACTTGAAAAAGATAAATTTTCAAAATCTGATCCAAAATCTATGGTTAAACGCTAGCTAAGAAACTTGAACCTATTAAGTTGTTAAGTTCAAACCCTGGATTTGCCTCCACTTGCTTACATTGTATCAAATAGACTGAAAAACTCCATAATTATGAGTATTAAGTCCTACAGATAGAACAACCTAAAGAAAGGAAACAAACCAACATTCAAAACAAAAGAACATGAGAAATTTAACAGAAGTGGCAGGAGAAGAAAAAAGCAGAACAAAATCCAGAAAGTACAATGAAACACATAGAGGGAAGATCTGAAACACTGATGGAAGCTAAAAGATAGATCTGAGTTCTTCATTGCCTTGACAAAATGCAGATATGAAAGATAAAAGAGAAGGCAAAAGAACTCAAGATGGCTTACAAGAGGAGTATAAAGCCCCATCACAATATACTGAAGCAATTTCTTTCCCACAAAAGGTGCAAAGAAGACATAGAAAGCAAATCCCAATGCCAGAAATACAGCAACAGCTACCACCTGCAAAGATAAATCAAACACAGGTTTTTGCAGAATTCCCAAATTAGATAAACCACAACTAAAAATGTACACATGAATAGACCTCCCTCCTCCCTCCTCCCCACTCCCCTCCCCCACCCCACCCCACACACATACAAAAGAGAAAAAGTTGGAACCTGAAGAGGATGATAGGGAAGTTGCCATCCATGCTTCCTCATTGTGCTGATTGAATGTAGCAGCCTATAAAAATGCAAGAGGGGAGAAAAAAGATTTGATTTTTCACTCTATTCCTATCTTGAATCTCTGATTTCTTTCAGCTCCCCACATTTTCTCGAGAGAAAAACAAAAAAGATCAGTTTTTTACTGTATTCAACAACAGAAAATCAAGAAATCTAGCAACCCCATTCACCAAATAACTCTCATAAGATATGAAATTGAGGGGAAAACAACAAAGAAAGAAAAGTAGAGCTCAAAGATGGAAAAAATGCATAATGTTGACTGACAGTAGAGTGTGGGGAATGAAAGGGGATATGCCCTGATGACTTAGCTAAGCTTTTGTCTAGTTCACTCAATCATAATCCATCCCCATAACCACAATGAGGTTGATGAAGAGAGAGAAAGACAAGAGCTTTGAACCTTGTAACAAAATGGGTACTCATTTTTTTGGGGGTTTCTTTATTTTGAAGTTAATTTTGTCTTCTTGGGAAGAGGCCTGTGTACAGTGATTGATCTATATAGGTGGAGAGAGAGGGGCATATGCTTTTCAAGCTTATTATTACCTTGCCAACCAACACAACCTGCTTTCACTTTTTCCCTTGTTTCTTGCATTGCCTTTTGGCCATGGCTACAATCATGTGTCACACACAGCCAACAACATCCACTTGTATTTTTTTCTTTTAACTCACTCCGTTTTATTTTAACTGTCGCTTTAGATTAAATTAAATTTTCACTTTAGCAATTCAAGATTATAATTGACAATTATTTTTAATTATATTCATAACTTTAAAGAAGTAACTTTTTTAAATATTCTCTCATCTCAATTTATATATTTTTAATTGGTATTTCTTTCTTTGCCTTTTAGGTTTTAACATTTATATATGGATCAAGTAATATGAAACAGATAGAGTAATAAATAGGAAAAAATTACAACAACTAAAATGACATGGAGAATAATTGCCAAACAACCCCTCCCTATTTATGGTTCTCTTTTCTTTTGTTATTTATCTAGAATTTGATATTAATATTGAAGCTCGACTAAATTTAAATTCATATCAAAAAAATTAACATCAGAAAATAAAATATTTTTTAACAAAAAGATTTTGTACTCAAGAAATTTCGAACACGAAACATCTGGTTAATGACCCTCCTCATTTATGACTCTTTAACACCCTCTTCTACCTCTTTTGTCATTTTTTCTTCTCTCTGTCTTTTGAGTCTTGTCTATTTCTCTGCTACTTTTATCTTCTTCTTCTTCTTTTTGCAATTACACATTTCTTACCCAAAATGGTCCCTAGAACTTATTCAGTTCTAGTATTTATTTATTCATTTATTGGAAAGTAATTGTCAATATATTTCCCCTTATTGTAAATTATTCAACACAAATTCAAATTCAAAATAAATCAGTTTCATTTTTTGTTTTTTACTACAAATATATTCCACCTTTATCTCATTTACTACCTTTATAATCGATTTTTAGAAATGGCATCTTCTTATATTTATAGTAAAAGTTCTTAATTTAAATATTCTTATTTTTCTCTTAGTATATTCTCTTATAGTGTTGACATGATATTTTTAAAATGATAAAGATCAAGGAATATTTTATGGAGTATTATATATATAATTTGAAATTAGAAAGTTCAAAAAAATTGTTTATATTTTAAAATTTTATCTCCAGTCAAACAAAAAGTAATAATTTGGAAAATGAAAAAAAAAGTTAAAGCGACAGTTATTTTAAGACAGATTTTGAGTTAAAGAGATAGTTAAAATAAAACGGAATACCCAACAAATATTAATACATTAGGTGTTTTTTATTTTTACTTATCACTTGATGTGCGATTTATATATTGAGACTCGATTAAATTTGAATTTGTGTATTGTAAGAATCATTTTTAAGGACGACACTCTTAACATGATTTTTTCTACTCTTAATAGTTCAAACTTCATATCGTTAACTAAAAGTGAACGAATCTCAATAATCTCATCATAACCAGTAATACATTAAATATATAATTTTTGCTCTTTTTGAGTATGTATGTGTTGCTTTTTAAGCTCCTAAATTGTTGCACAACCTGAAAAGGCATGATTTTATTGCATGCTAGTATTTGGAAGCACTTGGAATATTACTGATGAAAGAATAAAATGTTGGACCTATCATTTAAATAATATACTTATAATTAAAAGGAGTAGTTAATTAAGCCTAAAAGACTATAACATAATTAACTAATTAGAATCTAGTTAGTGGCTTAGCCATGTGTTAGTTATATTGCTATGAGTTTTAAGAAAAAAGAAAATCATATCAATTTGGCCTATGTAACTAATATGGTCTACCTAAAGAAATTGACAAACCTATATAATTTTTTCAATAAATGAAAAGCTTAAACTATAATTTATTGCAATTTAATGTGGTGATTCTATCTTAATAGTAATTCACCGTCTCAAAATAAGTATCATTTTACAAGTTATTTTCACACTAATATCATTTTACTAGTCATTTATTAAGTTATCTCTATTTATTATATATTTTTTGAAAATATATTTTAAAAAAATATGTAATGAAAATAATGTAATATACGATGGTAAATAAATAATAGAATACTTCAAAAGATACTCTATTATTTGCTCACCATTCCCGTTTGTTTGGCATTATTTGTTTGTCTACTCTCAAATTAATTTGTTCATTTCTTGGATGTAAAAAAGTAAATTTAGAATAAGTTAAACTTAACTTAGTTCGAGTGTTGAGTCTAGTGAGCAATAGACTCAAACTAGACCAGGTAAAATAAACGAAAAGAAATAGTCGATCAAATTTAAAATTTTAAAATATAATTAATTAATAAAATTAATTTAATAAAATCTTATGCGACACAAATTCAAATATTGAATATTAAATAAGAAAAAAAATACAAATACAAAATCCATAAAAGTGAAGTAGGAGAGTTGACAAAAACTAAAAGGGAAAAAAAGGGTTCAGAGATAGTTTTTCTATACGACCTGTTCTTTTTGGCAGCTTCTTGTCAGTTTCATTGTGCTTGATGAGTTTTTTTAAAATTAATCAATTAATTACCCCAAAGTCAAGACCTCTCAAGTTTTTGTGTTCTTTTTTACTTAAAAATATAACATATAATATATCGAGATTCTATTGAAAATAATTTTTTTTATTTTTATAAGATAAAATATAATTGTGTATATATTGTCCTCATCAGATCCGGACTATTCGTAGAATTACACTAAATTTGTTATTATTGTTATTGTGGTAGTTAGTTTAAGGGGAACATGCTCAGAGACGGAACGAGGATTAGAAATTTGAGGTTCTAAATTTTAGGACAGAAGATTGATAGTGGGGTTTGAACCCACAACACTAGTGTGAAAGACATTTTCATCGCTCCTTCCTTATCACTGAGTTGTCAATCAATTTTGTTAAAGGGTTCACAAATTAATTTACATATATATTTATTTAATTTTCTAATATAAATACAAGATATACGGAAAAGCTAATGGGTTCGTTCGAACCCACGAACCCTCACCTCCCTCCGCCTATGAACATATTAGTTGTAACAATTATAACACCACATTTATAATTTACTCTATTAATATAGTCTTTATCTTTGTTTTTTCTCTTTCAGTTTTATTTAATTTTATATTGGACAGCATGTAAAAATTTTGTCTGTGATAAATGACCAAATCCTAATTAGGTACCAAACCTTCTCTTGCAGTACTGTCAATATCAAAAGAAATGATATGTTGTTTTGACCTAATAATCTTAATTTAGTTATGTAAGCTAAGTAATGTCAAATACAACAGTAAACATAGATTAATTATTCTTTATTCACCAGTTTAATCAGTATTCATATGATTCATTTCCTAAACTAATCGTAATCGGCATTTGATGTTTGAATTTGACGGAGATATCGCACGCGTTTTTTCACGTGCGGATCTGATTCTTTCTTTATAGGTTAAGCATGTAGGAATTCATTTTTATTGAATGGCGGTGTTCGATAGCATGTTACATTAAACTTTCAACCTTACTCATATCCTAAAAATTAGCTTGAAGGAAGATAATTCAAGCCTTATAAGGAGCTCAGGATTCCATTGATTCTTTGATTCGGGACATTCCATTCATTGCCCCCTCCTGTCCGAATCTAGATATTCTTTATCCCCGATTTCACTGTCTGGTTTGATGCATGCACATTCATGGACCAAGGGTATCCCCTACTGTCTAGTTACTTGAGGGCCTATATCGGACCCGACTCTGATACCATATTAAAAAATGTAACCATTTCATTTAAAATCTTTTACTTTCAATTTTGCGCATAAGTGAAATGATATTTATAATAAAACAAAACTTAAAATTTTGAGTTCAAACATAATCTAAAAAAATACGGAATTAAAATAAGCAAAAATCATTCTAATTTAAAAGATATTTGTCTGCAATAATATAATTTTTGAAGTATGAAATTGACCAAATAACTTATAATTAACCCCAAAAATAAAATGAAAGTGCATTAAACCAAGTTATTTAAAGTCACACGAATCTACTAAATGCATTGAAACAAAAGAAGTGTAGTTTTATACTTTAAAAAGTATAATAATTAATTACTACAATAAGGTACGTAATGAATGTAAATGGAATATAATAAATCAAAAAAGTGAATACAACATGATGATTGAAGCACCTCCCCAAAATCTTTGACGACAAGCAAAGCAAAGACAATTTTTTACTCTACTTTTTTCCATAAATTTAACTTTATCTATTCACTACTTATATTATATAGTACTAATTAATACCAACAAGGATCGTATTAGCAAATATATGGATTTCTTTTAACTTTTAGTTGAAGATATCGAATTTGAAATATGAACATAAATAGTATTATGTGTGCCTTGGTTTATTAAAAAAAATAGCAAATTTCGTTTAACCACAAAATATATCAGGATTTTTTGTTTCAAAACATAATGAAATATACTACTATATATGCACACATAATAATAGTGAAATACATTATATCCATGCACATAATAAATATATCCGTACGTATATAATAACTTTATTATAGCAAAATACACTATATATCTTCGTATGCTTAATAAGTACTATATCTGCAAATATATAATACTTATGCCTATTATTTTACTACTGCTATATATTCCTTCCTTGTACCTTCAGTTAACAAGAAATAATTGTCAAAAACCCAAGAAAGTTGAGAATAAATAATTATATTTATTTTTTAGGAATATGACCCGTGACTACTTTATACTAATTTATTTCTTGTTTAATTTCTTTTATTTGTATGTGGTTCCTTTTCGTCACGTGACTGATAGAAACCCGTGACTGTAAATATAAAATATACTCAAAATATATTTAATTTCACTTGTACCCGAAATCTTTAACAAAGAATTCAAAAATATTTATCGCTCCATCATAACTCCTGTCATTGTTTGTTAACTGTGACGTTGACTGTTCCCCATTTCAACTTTGTTTCTTTTTTAAGCTATTTTTGTTTGCTATATAATATTTTTTTTCATTAAAATATAGAAAGATATGAAATAATGCACAAATCTTATCAGCACAACTTGCAATACATGTACATAAGTACACAATAAATCCAATTCACCCCACAACTATTATGTTGTGTTATTTTCATTAGACCCTAAAGGTTTGAGAAAGTGCACTT